ATAAGCTTTTAATATTATATTAGTAATCTGTTATTAAACTTTATATAAAGTTTATATAGAATTAACTGATCTGTATTCTGCACTTACTACACCCATAAAATGCATAATTTAATATGACAATAATAAAATCACTTTCGTTACCCACTTATGAACATATAATAGTATGACTACAGAAATTCTTACAGGTCATGGAAAAAAATATCAATGTTGGTCATTTTATTTAGATTAAATATTTCCTTGGCCTTTTTATAATCTACTTTAATTTCTGTTCGGTATCTTGGCCTGCTCTCAACCAGAGTTATTCTAACCGGTGTTATGGTGATCCTCCTTTACTTACAGATTTATCTCCATGTTCAGAAGAATTTTTCGAACCCTATTACTGGATCTAGATCGACGAATAGCTCTTTTACTCTTATCTTTGCTAGTTTATTGCAGTAATTCACTAGCCCGTTCAATGTTTCATAACATTACCCAGGCTGAAGACGTGAATTAGTATTATACCTATCCAGGACTGCCTTCGCTACCCTGCCATATGAGTAGATGCAGATGTGTCTCTTTCCTCCAAACTCTAGTGTCAAGTGAGCATACCTTACGAGAGCTATCCGCTTAGTTCGAAGGATTGTAGCGAGCTTTCTCATCGATATGGAGAAAGGCCATTCCGTTCTTTGCTCGATACACCTCTACCATGTCTCACGGGAGGCCAATTGGATCTGAGTTTGTACTTGAATGCAGATTACTCATATTGTATTGATGTCTCATTTTTCTTGTGATATTTGCTTCATTGAACGAGGTTACATCGCTCTCATAAATAAACAAGTCGGTCATATTTCTGTTGCGAGCTTTCTTTTGCCAGATTCGTAAGCAGAGTACGTAGGTAAGGTGTGCTCGGCATCGTTTGATCTTCTCCTCTTCGCAAATGTCTTCTTTTGACTAGATAAAACTCGAAAGATTCGTGGCTGTTAAGACCTTGCATCAAATGAAATTCGTTACGCTACGCTTTCGAAGTAACCACTTATTAATTTTTGGTATAAGTGCATATGTCCATCATATTGCCTTGCACGAGTCCCGTTCCAGTTGCTATCTATTGAAAATATTTTTTTCTTGTTTTTCTTTATGCATTTTCTTTTTTTCATTGGTCAGTTATCCGTGTTTCTGTTGGTATTTTCCTTGGCTAACCTTAATGTCTTTCCTTTGACGAACTAGGAATCTAATCGGAGATAACCCTGTTCCCGTGGAGAAGTCTTCTCTATATATATGGTGTCCATTAAACAGCTATGTCTTTTCTAAGACTACGTCTCGCATGTATCTGTCCATCTTCTTTACTGCGTCTTCGGATAAAAGAATGCTAAGCTAATTGGTCGGAAATCATTTGGTGGGATGTATCTGTTCCTGCATGATTTCGCAATAAAGATAATCTTTGTTATACTCCAAGCCTTTGGGATAAAGTTAAATGTCAAACTAGTCCTGGCAAATATTGTAAAGGGTCGAATAATACTACTGTTTTCTGCAGAAAAGCTGGGAATATACCGTTAGTTAGAGTTCCCGATTACCCTCCTGATCTTAGTTGATAAGGTACTTTCTATGATTATTTGACAATGTTCTTTCAAACTCAAACATTTAGATCACAAACAAGTTGAAGTTTTCCACTTTCCATTATCATCGTGTCGTGTTATTCTTCAGCTCGTCGTATTCAAGAAGGAATTGTGCATTTTTATGCATTCAACTCCCACAACCGACTCTAGTGGTTCCTCACTATTGTATACCTATGCAGTATTTTATCACTAAGTTTCATTTCATAAGACTATTTACTTCAATTTTTGTGTAGATTGTGTAAATGATTGAATGTAAATTATAAAAAATTATTTATTGAAGTATGTATAAATACGTATAAAAACGAATGACGTAATAGTGCATTATTTAAATAAGAGTGCCTAATGAAAGGGTACTTATCGTATGAGCTTCCATTCAGAACTGATTCATGGTCTCACCCTACAACTAGTACAATATCACGAAACATTAAATCTTTCATATTTTAATCGTCTTCTTATCTAAAAAAAAAATTAGGCAGCGCCGATACATGAAACATGTACATGGTTATAAATTTGAAGGATAGTATATGTATTTTTAAATTGTAAATTCGATACTTTCTATAAATAGATATGTTACTTTTTGCAAAATTATAGAATCATTAATAGTTTTAATATTAACTTTCAAATGCCCATTGAGCCTGGCATTGGAGTAGCTCAACTTCTGCAAGTTTAAATATCGCATCCTCCCAGGGTTTGAGTATGGCTTTCCTGTTTAACAAAGTTCTTTCCCTGATAACAGACTCTTGAAGTTTAAGCCATTTATCTGATAGAGTTTTGTCAATCTCCTGCATCGAAACTTTATAGAAAAACTAGAAATGTTGTGCAGTGAGTCTTTTCCGGATAACTAGCATCCGTCACGATCATGCATAGGATTTGCCTTATCTGGATATAAGTAAGCCCCAATAGGATTGACTGTTACTTCCTTTCCTTTCAGGTGGTCCCAAGTCAAGAATACCATCGCTCCTAAGTTTTGTTTTAGTCTGTTTAACATTGGGTGAGTTTTCGTTCGAATTATTCTCTCCCTATTTTTTGTGAAAGTGCAGAGTCGGATGTTTTAAATAGGTAACGGTTGACTTTACACATCTCAGCTTTATCTATTGGAAAAATCAAAATTATGGCCTTAATGTTTTAACCTCCGCTGATGTGTTATTTATACTTCCATTGTGATTGACGCGTTCCTCCTTTAGAAAGGTTTTTCGTCCAGCCATGGCGTTTTCGAGTATCTGAAGTAAGCAGTAACTGACGAATAATTTGTCCTTGTTCCTGTAGGATTTTTAGACTATCCCGACTCATTCCGGAATTAGAAATCTAAGATGCTCTGTTTTATCCAATTCAGAGCACGGAAAAACTGCCTTACTGAGATAGTCCAGCGTCTTCCGTATATTCCACTCTGTCATTAACACTGATATTTACATTCTCTCTCTCTCTCTCTCTCTCTCTCTCTCTCTCTCTCTCTCTCTCTCTCTCTCTCTCTCTCTCTCTCTCTCTCTCTCTTTCTTTCTTGTTTCTTTACTTTCTATTGTAAATATTGGATAGATCGAAATTGTTGTCCCAAAATTATCTAGAGATAGAGAAAATATTATATTCCGTATTATTAAGCCGTGTATCTAGTAATCGCTCTATTCCATCTGTTGAAGCAAACTCTTTTTTTGTAGTAAGCTACGCCACAATTCTCATTTCCTCACTCTCATTCTACCTTTAGTCGCATAACAATAATCTAATATTCATACAATAGTAGGTCACTATCCATGAATAGCTGAAACTCGTTCTATCTAGCTCTTAAAGTTCACCGTCCAAATAGTACATGGATAATAGAAATCAAAAGCTTTCATTTGATACCTTGCACAAACCAAAATAATGATTTTTGATGAGTGTCGTTCATTAAAAAAAGTAGTTGAAAACCACAACCATTATATAATTTACAAGTTGCTTGCAAATGTTTTAAATATATGATGATCTTTGACATTTGATATTATATATTCTACCTGGTCAAATTGAATTCATCGATCAACCAACACATCTATATAAAAATTAATTTATAAAATAGTCAAATATTGATGTCTTTCTAGGAAATAGAGAATCTATTAAATAATCACGAGATAAAATACACAAAAGAATTGAAAGATAGTACGCAGTAATAATTAAAAGTTTCAATATAAATTAATTACATAATTTGTATATATGAAATAAAATGGAGTATATAAAATAGAGCTTTCAGATTAATAAAATATAATAAAATTCTTGTGATCGTACAAACATAACAAATTACAGCTCTTGACTTCTAATATCTATGTTACTTTGTGAAAATGTAAATAAATACCATCATTATTTATGGATAAATAAAGGTAGCCTTAATTTTAGCAAATTTCTTTACGTCCTATGATATGAAATGACAGAAAAAATTTTTTTTTTCAATTTCACGTTCTACAAAAGTAGATTTTTCAATAATTTTGTTATATACCTCTTTTCTTGGTGAATCTAGAATTTTCTTTTACTATCAGTCAAGCATTGTTTATTTTGCAATTTTGTTTTTTGATTGAATGTTGCGTAGAACCATTTACAAGACCTGAATATATCTAAAAGTTGTCGTTAATCATTAAAGTGAAGGTAATGCAGAGTAATAGTACATGACATAGTAACGGACATTCACGGATACCGACAATTCTGATTATACGTCAAATCCCTAGAATGACTAATATTTAATGATGATGCCACTGGATTGATGCACTCTAATGATCTCTATTAAGAAGCTTGATCGTTCTATTTGCGATGACTAATGAATGGCGCTATCGAAACTGGAGCAAACCCAATAACACGCTGTAACGACTCTGTTACACTCGATTTCAACAAATATTAATAGCCTTTCGTTGGAGCAACGAGGTTTTTATTTTCGTATTCGTTGTTAAAGTACAATGTCTCACATTGTTACAATAAAAGAGAAGAAAGGCGATTGTTCGCGTACACGGATAAAAAAAATATAAGGCGTTTATAGATAGACGTATAAAAAAAAATTAGCATTCATATTTGAATATTTGCAATTGTTCGCGAGAGGGAAGAAGGAAGAGGGGTGAGCGGAAAGAAGGAATTCAATGCGTAACAATAAGCATTGTTTGATTGATTGTTTGAACTACGGAATCAAGTCGGTGTGGAGCTTTTGAAACGAGAGCTCCGTAGGGAAAAGCTCAAAGGATGGAAAACAGTGGGGCGCTCAGAGTACAATGCAGAGACTCGTTGGAAGTATAAATTTATAAGCACGAGCTAGGAATTCAAAGATGTTTTTCAAGGCCATGCACTGAATGTTATTAGCACGTAGCGATCGGTGGTCGGAACAATGGGGGAGTTTTTGCACGATGTAATTGCTGCATAAAATGGGGTGTGCAAACTAAAGCGACGTGTAATGTTGGTGGATAGGTCGAACGCACGACGCGAGCTACGTGCTGTACCGTCTGAGCCAGCGGCTGTCTGCGGGGGCACGCCAGTACGTGGAAACTGGCAGGACAGACGGCCTCGACACCGGAGCCGACTTCCCAAACACGCTACACGCGTTCACGGGGCCGGCGGTGCCGCAGGGCGAGGGCGTCAGCACCGCCAGAGCCTTCCTCGACGCCAACCACACCCTCGTCAGCGTCTTCGCCAGGATCAATCCCAGTCCCGACTGGTTCGTCGGGCTCGATTCCTTCGAGCTGTGCGTCGAGGGCAACTGGGTTGACACCGTCACTGTGGAGGTATTTCGAAATAATTTAATCCGATTAGTCGAGAATTAACAAAACTCACTGGGCGCGCCAACTTTCACGGCAGTTCAAAATAGTAGCTGCGATTCGATTACAAAAGCGTTTTCTACATTGGCGTTAAATTAGCTGAATGTTAGTCGTGGCTGTACAGAGTAACAAGGTCGGAAAGCGAATAAGGTTAAAAGTGTTTGTTCGGTGTTGCAGCTGGATCCGCTGGACGGAGGCACGGACAACGGGTTCACATTCACCGCGGCAAATTGGCCGACGCAGCCCCAAGGAATCGCCTACAGGATCACGTCGCGCTATCCCGCCCATCCCGCCGGCAGCTTCTACTACCCGAATCTGGCCCGTCTGCCACCCATCGCCACGCTCACCTTCACCAAGGTAATTACATCTTAACGCTATTATGAGCTGCCGCCTCCGCCCATCAGTTATCTATCTGGCTTGCTATTTTCCGCGCCGAGCAGACTCATGCGTTTCGTGAGCCTGCCATTTGCTGTGCCAATTATAGGTCGTCCAAGGGAACGGCGCAGTCGATCGTTCGACGCCGGAATATCGACCGTCTCAAGTGCGAGCTTGTTGTGCCGGAATAGGAAAGAATTTGACGGTTAAGTTGCTCGTTAAGTTGGCGGGAAGTTGCTGTGGTTGCCTGCTCTCGCCGCTGAATGATTAAGGAATAAAGGAGATAGTTATCGACAAGTCATTTGAAGGGAAGAACAGTGGCTTGCAACATAAATGCTCGTTAAGGAAGTTGCATGGAGCGGCGCTCGGAGGAAGCGCGAACGAGTCGGTCTCGCGGCCAAATAGTCTTAGCCAAGTTGGCCAATGGACGTCAAGTTGAAGAGGGGAGTTGCGCGCGAGCAAACCAAGTTAATGGAAAGCTGCGGCTCCCGAGGTGTCAATTTAAGCAAAGTCCAAACAACAGCAGCAGCCCCCGGTAGCCGACTAGCTTTCTTTTTACAAATAGAAGGCCGCCGCAGCACAGCCCCGCCCGTAAATATCCTCCGAATTCCTCGGGCAGCGAAACTTTGCTAAATCCGCAGTGGTCGTTTATTTGGCTCGCCGCCGCCGCTGCCGCCGCCGCCGCCGCTGTTACGCTGTTGCTGTACCTCGTCGTTACTCTCTTTCTTCGCGCTTTGTGCTTTTTCCCTCTTCTTACTTTTCCGTCTCTCGGTGAAACGAAGCAACGAACGCGCTTCAAGTGGTGTAATTGCTTTTGGCGAGCCGTTACGATAATGGCGTATTGAAGGTACGTATGCCGGGTGTGATTGTTAGTTTGCAAAGTCAGTCGTGGAAAAGAATTTGATGGATGTCTGCAAATTGGCCGGCAGTTTTTGCTGGCTTGGCCTGCAATCTCGAGGTTCTCAAGCGGTTGCTCGAGTGCAGCATGCCTGCGAGGAGAGGAGCGCGATTCAGTTTCCATGTCAAATTACTTAGTCCCGGGATCTAGCCGCGTCGTCGAGACTAAATAAATTTCCCCAGACTCGAGCGCCGAGGAGTGCCGAGTTGCGCGCTCCCTCTCTCTCTCTCTCGCTTTCGTCGGCGAAAAAGCGCCCCCTTCCCCCCGTCCCTGCCGTCAATATTTATTTACCGGGACGACGAAGACGACGAAGAAGACGATGCTGGCGGCGGCGATGAAAAATGCTCTGGGAGAGGGCCTCGGGCACAAGAGGCGCCAGTCTCCTCTCCACTCTTCGCTTCCTTCCTTGCTGGCGCTCCTTCGCCTTGGCAATCTCGCTTCAAGTCGAGGCCAAGCTATGCGTGAAGCAAGCCGAGCCTTTAATAAGATTCCAAATCCAGCCAACCGCCAAACTCAAACTCGCTAATTATTTGGCTGGCTTGCTTGCTCTCGCTGTCGTAAGCGAGCGAGCATTGTAACGGCGAAAGCTTGCCGTTTTTAACCTCCGAATTAGTAAGCAATCCGGTATCGAGTTTCCTTTGCACAAAGGATCGTCAATTTCTCCAGGATACAAAGCAAAGAGTGTCGAATTTTGACGCCCAAGTCACCCCTCGAGCTTCTCGGCCCTTCAATCTCCTCATTATATCGCGTAGACGAGAAACAGTTTTGCGCCTAAATTCGCCAAATCTTCTTATACTTAGCCAAGTTTCGCCCGAAATAACAGGCTGATTAGTCCCGCCAAGCATCCATTTTGCTCGCTCCAGCTCCAACTTTCGTGCTCGATATGTTCTATAATCTTGAGGCTGGTTGGCTGGCGCGCAATCATCGTCTCGCTTTTCCCCGTCAACCTTTTCCCTTTCAACCCAAACTTGACTTGCTTTCTTCTCGACTCATTAGGTGCCGAAAGTTGCCTCGTTATCTTACCGGATTATCGATCGCCACTCCGCCGTTGATTTTCCGCGGGAATTAACTTCTTAAGATATTAACGAGCTGCTTGATAATTGTCAGCCTCGCGGAGATTCATTGCAGTCCTCCTTGGCAGCATTGTTCCGAGTCGACATGGGCGACAAATGGGTCGCAGCGTCGATTGTCTGCACGCATATTCAGCCCGCGGCAGCGAAAAAGTGCAACGAAAGGAACAAAGTGGAAAGGGGGAGGAATACGACTGATGATAAAAACAAAGAGGGAGATTGATGAGAGTGCGATCAGAGCGTCGGCGCTCGTCGGTTTCATGCGAGTATATAACGGCAAAGATTTACTCGGCAGCAGACGCAGGTCGAAGCGTAAAACCAAGCGGATCTCGGATGCCTGCAGTGGGTTATGGTGGGATGGCCGCGGGGCAAGGATTTAGTCCGCGCGCTCGACCAGGGAGCCAGTCGCTTCTTGTTGTTCGGGCGCAATCTGCATTTCTCGCGTGCGTCTCGGATATTTAGAGCGGGGCCGCCTACGTGTGCGCGTGCGACAGAATGCCGCGCGCGCTCGCAGCAAGAACCCGCACCGGAGCAGCGCAACGCGGCAGACCAACGGCAAAAAGTTGCTCTGCCGCGGACGACCGTTCCCGATAAAGTTCAAGCAGCATTTGCAGAGCTGCGGTCACTCAGTCCTTGCCGGCAGTTCGCTCGGTCGACCTACTTGCGAGTTACGCGCCGTGGGAGTGCGAATAAAAGTCTTGAGCTGGCGCAACGAGCGCTGACTGACGAGAGACGAAAGAGCGTGCAAAGGAGGTGCAGGAAAGCTAGGCGAACGATCGACCGAGGCTGGCCGTCTGGCTCGTCTGGCTCGTCTGGCTGTTGGCCCCCGGGGGCTGGTTAGCGTCGAACCGGGCCGTCGCTACCCAAGCTCGGATAAAGGGAGTCCGCCGGGCTATGAGTCGAATCGGCGGCGACGCGCAGCGGATTAGCGAGATTAGATGCCGTGCCCCCCAGCCCTCCTATCTTCCCATCCCCCCGTCAACGTTCGCCAACCTTTAGATAAGCTTGCAGCGCTGCGAAACAGACCGAAGACAAATGCTGAGCCTCGGTCCGATGCCTGATTTCTCGCCCGACACACTGATCCTGACTTGCCACCATCCTGCATAATCACCGATATGCTATCGCTTCTGCCCTCCTCCTCGTAAACACCTACATTTATCATTGGCTTGCCTCTTCTATCCTCCATATAAATCTTCATCCTCGACTTTTATTGTAGTTTCCAATCTCCGATGCTTTCCGCGCTTTTCTTTTCTATTTCACAATGTACAAATAGCTCCTTTCAAAGCTCGCGTTTCATACTCGTCTGGAATTCACTCGTTCAATTTTTCAAGACTATACTGCCTATAAGTCTTCTACATTTTCATGCCCTTTGCTCAATTTTATCCCTTTGGCCATCGGACATTGAAGAACAGTGAGCTGATCTTCAAGTTCGCTGAAAATGTACTGTCGTGTAACCTTGGTGCAGCTTCTAATCTCCAACCTTGATGAAGGTTGCATCTACAATCAATCAATCGAACTTTATATTCAGCTAAAACGCTTTGAAAAGAGAAGTGTACGCAGTTGCGATATTTCGTTATAAATAATAAAGTGTAGACGTATGCAGAAAATCCCATATTTACTTCGGATGCCTCTGATGAAACATCGAGTATTCATTTATTTATTGAAAAGAAGTTTCCAATTAATTAGGTTTTCACATGTGCCTACACATTGGGCAAACTGCTCTAAAACAGTTCACTAAATTTCAAGCAGGTTAAGTCTAAATCAGTAGCATCCGTTGTTACAACAGCCCGTCAATTGTTTCGATAGCTAAATTAATACGTCTGCGTAAATAACCGAGCGATCTCTGAAAAACAAGTCGAATAACTCGTTCACCTGCTTGACAAATACAACTAGTTGCATAGTAAAATTGTAAGGGCGGAACGTGGGACGAGTCAATTTGGCGAGCAAATTATAAAAGCCACTTGGATGAAGGGGAGTTTTCAAATTGGGTTGATTTAGAAGTAATGGCGTGGGAGGCGGGTCGAATATTTGGGCTAGGTAAGCAATGCGAAAAGGAGAAAGGGACGGATAATCCGCGAACAAACAGCAGGTCACGCGCGTTGCAATGCAGGGACGAAACAGTGCGCGCGATAAACAGCCAAGTCGACAGCGGCGCGGCGAGCAGATTGGCAAGCATGCCGTTTCATAGACAGAGGTGGCATGGTGCGGGACGATCGCGCTGTTTGATGCACCAGTGCATATTTAGGAAAGGCTACAACTTAATGATCCCGGCGGCGCTCAATTACATTGAAACCGTATTGAATTAGCTTGAGTTTCGCGCCAATCACCTCTCTCGAACGTGGCTTCATTTGCAACTCCGAAAGCTAGGCTAATTAGCGCAGCCGACTTTCTCTCTCTTCTTTTCGCTTTTCTCGTTCGGTCCTTCTAGCGCCGTTACCTTTTCACTACAGCTGCGGCTGTCAACGGCGAATGGGCATCGGTGCTGCCAAAGATACCCGCAAAAACTAGCCGCTCCGGATAGTCACGAAGAACACTGCGATTGTGGCAGGCTGAGAGAGGCCCGATAGAAGCGATCTGCTGGCGGCGGACGGCACACATGCGCGAGCTCGTACTCTTTTATCGCGTCTCGCGGTAAAAGATTGGCCGGATTTCCAGCAGCTTTCGTAAATAGACAGCCGCTCTTCAGAAAGTACACTCGACGTGCGCCAGTAGCGCGCCACCCGATCGAACGCCTCAACAGAATTTGAAATTTTTCTCGCCACTCCGACAATGCTAATCTTATCCCGTGGAAGTCCCCTTGCCCTCCCGCCTCTTCTTCATCGTTTTCCCGCTGCTGCGGCGCAGTCCTAAAATGCGTTGGCTTTGTATTAGCTCGGGATCCCGTTGTTTCATATGGCGAGGCATTCGCAACTGAAATACTGAGAAAGAAGTGCGGATCGAGTAATTGATCGAAATACTGGTTTATTTAGCGCCAAAGATTGTCGCGCAGCGACGATATTGTGCACGTAAATCGAAAGATGCAATAACGAATCGAGCGAGTCGAACAGCCTCACATCCGGCGTACAGCCTATAAATTTTGCAGAAGGCTATAACGTTTCGTTCTGCGACTGGCTGGAAATTGAATGGCTTCTTTTCTTTGGGCCTATCCTAGGAAAGCGAGATCGAGCCGCGCAAGCCGAGCTGTAGAGTAACGATCAGGCCTCTGCTGCTGAATTGCCGAGTTATTGCCACATGGGCTAGTCACATGTAAAAACCAATAATTCCTCCAGATTTTCTATCTTCCTTATTGTTTTGCTTCTCGCGCGTCCATCGATTTCTTTTCGCGCGAGTGCTCCTCCTGCAAAGCAATCTTTTGACTTTCAATCGATTTTCCAAAAGTCGCTCGACCATTAGTTAGTTATTATTAGTTGTTATTGGCTTAGCAGGTAGGTCGGTAAAAATATGCGCAATTCAAGGAGAGAGATAGAAAAAAGGGCTCGGCTTGCTCGAGAATTGAATGATTTAAGTTGTATGGCGCAGCGCATACACGGAATCCTTTATGAAGTATTTTCACTCGACTCAAATTGCTTTATGTCAGAAAAATGCTACCAAAAGTTGGCCAAGCTGAATGGAGAGTGAGCGGCATGAACAAGTCTCTTTATGCGCAACATCAAAAAATACCGAGAATAAAGTTGGCCCCGCAATAAACTTTTCCTAAGGAACACCTACGGCTTTCAACTTCCCTTGGGAAACTTAAAATAATACTTTCTTCTCAATTTCAATCAAGAATCATCATTTAATTATCTATGAAGTATTGTATTTTTAGTGTCGTTTGCGTTTCTAATAGTATTAAGCGTATCTATACATTATAATTTCTTTTTGTTATTTCACGGGAATGTTGAAGAAAATATATAAAGTTGCTTTTTCCATTTTTAAAGTCTCTTTGTTACTTTCCTCCTAAAGATTTTACCGAGAAAATATTTTTAAGAAAATACTCCATTGTAGAATGCACCGGCAAGCTTTCCGAGAGACCGAAAAAGTCAATCGACCTAAAACAGTACTCAGATATGAACATCATATATTCTCTTAAAGTTTGCAGAGTTTTATTGAACAGTTCAGCTAATCTATTTTTCATGTAAGCCTCTGAGCAGTCGCATTGAGTTTTTGGATTTGGTTGTAGTGACAGCGAGTTGCAACATACTTGTAATAAATCGACTACTTTATAGTCATTATTTCAATTCATAACACAACTCAATCGCCATTTGTTCTTACTTTGGGCGTAGCTTCACTCAAACAGAATAAGGCCGATAGCCATTGAGATATCGGTCTATATAAAGTGCTACATAGACTTTTTAATGATCTAGTTGCACTTATCACGGTTAATGATACTTTGCGTATACATGCATTAATATTCCATTGAATTTATTGGCAATAAAATATCGCAAAAGAACTTTATAGCATATTGCCGCAGAGACCTATATACAAGCTAATAAAAATAAAAATTTCATTATCATTGAAAATTATCTCAAAAGAATAGTTAGTTTTGTACTGTAAAAATGATTCAAAAAAGTATTGCAAGTCCTTTACTTTGTCGATTGTTTAGTACGGAAATTACTGTTTTTAAATTGAGATAATACTGCCTCAACTCAATAAGTTAAAAAAATTAACTATCATCATAATATGTTCGTGTTCTGGAAAGGTTGCAAAGAGCTCGTCAGGAGGAAGCTCATTGACCTCGCGTAGCTCAGAGAGACAGTGAATGTTTTCGGGTATGCCGTTATGAGATTCTAAATTAAACTACCACATAGCTATGCCGAGCTGCACACTAAATTTGTGCCGAGTCGGATGCGACGTTCAAGTTTCTTTCGCGCAAACTCACTATAACCATCATCTTCTAAAAGTCCGTGCTTTTAATGTTAATATTTCCTCGCTTCACGGTCGTTCATTCGGTTAAAACTTAACAATAATAGTTCAATAGCACAATATTTCACAGGCATTCAAAGTGAAAATTTGCAAATTGTTTATTTATCAAACATCATAAAGAAAAAAAGACATAAATCTCTTTTTTCAATCTGCTAGTCATTTCATAGTAGCTCATGAAATCTGACATTTTTCTCTGGCATTTTCTCTTGGCGTAGTTTTTCAATTTTTCGTAGATTTACCACTTGTGTTCGATCATATTAAATTTTTCATCAGCAAGTTCCTTTCAATTTAGTATGCAATCCAGCGTCAAAATTCCTGAATGCCGAATATTTTCTCTTCTCCAAAATTTCGCAAAGTCAATTCGCTAAATGAAATTTCCAAAAGTAGACTCTCCGCGAAGTCGTAGTCGACTTGACGAATTCATAGACTATTACATGCCTTTTTCCAATTTCAAATCTAATAAACAGAATCTTATTTAGAAAAACAGGAAACAAGTATAATTTATTCCAAGTTATCTTTTCTTGTCCGTATTACTTTCCACTCCAAGTCTAATCTAGTGCTGGCGAAACATCAACAATTTTTTTGAACGTAAATTAGTAAAAAAAGTCTAAGGGGAAAAACAAGTAGTCAGAGATGCCTCCGTTGTGTAAGAGAAAAACAGGTGAATTAAAGTAAAAGATAAAAGCAAGTTAAATGGCCGTAAACTCCTATTGCTTTTAATTTGGAGGTGAAGCTTGCAGTAAGAAAGATAGAAAAAAAGGCGAGTAGCAGCAGCGGCAGCTCTGTGGCGGTGACTAATAGTTCGGTCAGCCGTAGTTGTCCGGCATGCCCATCCTTTTCCCATCAATTGACGATAAATGCTTGAGCGCGCGCGACAACCGAAAGAACCCGTAAGGGAGAAGAAGGATAATAGATGTATACCTATTTTTTAGTGAACGATCGACTAGCCATTGCACTGGGAATGAAAACAAGATCGTTAATTTAGGCGGGAAAAGAAACGAAAGAGACGAGCAGGAGAATTGAAGGCAGGCTGACGCGCTGATTTATCAAAGATAAGATGCATACTAAATGCATTTGCTGGCAGTTCTGGGTACTCGCTCAAATTTGGTTAAATTTATGCGCAACAAGTGTTCGAGATTCCGCCAGATGCAATGTACGAGGGCCTATCCGTTATGTTGTGAGTTTGTACATCATATATGTTATGCAAGTTTCCAGTCTGTACGAAGTCTGGATATGGAGCTAGCACTTATTCTGCTTGCAAAACATTGCTGCACAATACAATGCTGCAAGATTAGCAGCGACAATCACTGTAAGTAGCTTCAAAGTAAACTCCACTCGAGGAACGACTTGGCGGAGCTAGGCTGTAATAGACACGGGAGCGACAATCGAGAGATGCTTTCGGCAACTGTTACGGTGGCTAATCGTTTGTCAATCTCGCGCATGCTCTGTCGTACAAAAGGCAATAATTATTCGCAGCAGCAAGAAAAAACCGGCCATCACGAGAAAGGAAAGAAGCAAGTAAGCCGTCACAAAAGAAACAGCCAAATGCGGTTAATGATAAGCTGGAACAATTTAGATAGTGTAGGTGCAATACAAAAGGGGAGATGGTAGGACACAAGAGAGAGTGAGAGAGAGAGGAGGCGCGGGACGGGAGGGGAGGGGCAAGCAAGAAACAGAAAATAAAGGGCAAAAGACAAAGCCGAGAGACGACTAGGGAGGAGGAGCAGGGAGCGCGATACGGCCCGAAGTACAATGCCAGTGTATATATACGTACACACTGGGGTACACGGACGCTGCACAGATGACACACTACGACTGAGAGCAAAGAGGGTGGCAAAAGTGGGATGGGAGCCTCTCTCTCGGAGACACACGACACGTGATCCGCTTAGCGATCCGCCGGCAAAAACTCAGGGCTGCAGCCCGCAACTGGATTAACAGCCTCATGACAGAATGACCGATTCCTTTCAATTTTTCAAATGCGACCAAATGACCGAACAACAAACTACCTACAAATGATAGCATGTAAGTAGCCGAGAGCTGGAGTTGCGCCCATACGTATTGACTTTGTCTCTAGTGACTTGTCCTTTTATTGGCTGTCCCCAACGGAAAACTGCTGTGTTTCCTTATGCGTACACGGTCAGAAAACATAGGTATAGCTCTCGTCCAAACTGTTTTCCGCTCAGCACGCTAGCGTTCATAATATAGCATTCGGCGGCGGTCGGCGCATCAATGAGATGGACACGAGATGATAAAATAAATAAGTTTGACAAGAGTAGAGCTATCGATTAAAGGTGGTGCGGGTGTGCGTGTCTGCTGAACTGTTGTAGCTTCGAGAGTACAGCCTGACGGAGACGTACCACGAAGACGACGTGGAAATGGAATTCGTGAGCAGCGAGAATCAACTGTCGAAGGGCTTCGGGATTGCAGCGCCGACCCCTCGGGCAATCGATCCCAACCAAGACCTGAACGAGGCCATAGCCGAGGAGCGCCGGGAGATGGATACCCAGAGATACAGGTAATCTTCGCTTCTAGTTTTTCCCACTTTTCCTTGGGTGCCACGGCTAATAACGGCACACAACTCACTTTATCGGCCGAATTTTACCGACAGGTATCCTCGCGCTACTCCCACTCGGCTTTGATTTTTCGCTTTGCCAATCGTCCGTCAGCCTGTCCTCTTGTCTAACGATCAGGTGTTACTATACGACGTGCGCAGAGGTGTTCGCAGCGCGCGCCAGTTGAAGCCACATAAAATGTCGCCTCCATAAAATTGAACGCGCGTCTATCTGCGGCGAGCTGGCGAGGTGAAAGGGCGCAAAAGAAAAACGCGAGAGGCTGGGCGCCAGTCGACAATGCCGCGATGGAAGCGCGGTGTATCGCTTGAGAAATGCCTCGTCGATGATGGCATTTGGTCGAGTAAACGGCCTGGAAAAGCTCGCTCCAGCGCACACTCGAGCTCGTGTAAGAGGCGCCCCGGCGCGCGGGCTGCGGCGACGCTTGGCCTCGCGTCGTGGCCTCGCGTGCCCGGCATGTGTGGATACTGTTGTGCCTCGCCACTTGACTGCAGCCGCCGCCTCTTTATTTCCGGACTCGACGTTTTCCAAACTCTATTCGACTTGAGCACTTCTCGTCTCGTCTCGTCGCGCCAATCACTCGTAATATCTCTCGGTCTCTTTGTCGCGCTTCTTGCTACTTTTTTCTATTAGAGCCCCCTTCTCGCGTCTCTTTCGTTTTTATGCGAGCAGGCCCCGAGGGGAAGCTGGCTGTGCGCGCCTTTTTCCCCCAAAAGGGCTTATCCAGGCCATTTTGCCGATCTCATTCTTGGCGCGTGAAAGGGGATCCCCGGAGCTCATTTGACGTTAGTCGACAATGTCGACGCTGCCCTAGAATCCTTACAAATCAAGCGGCAAATGTCTGCTGGTATTTTTACTTGCTTTTTGCCGCGCCCCCCGCGCTCAGAATGGTCGTGTCGTCGTGTAAGTGCAGCGTCAACAGTCGAGCAACCCTCGAAAGGCGTGGAAATGAAATGGAATCGGTTCCAGCAGAATGCCCACGTACGTATATCAACAGTTGAGCTGTGAGCCTAGTGTCGAGGTGGGGAACGCTCTAGCGCTGCTTATCGGCCGGACCGAATCTCTTTGAGCCTCGACGTATCCGAAAGATCGACGGCGATAATTTTTCCGAGCTCGTGCAGGTGCTGCAACGACAGCAGCACCTCGACTTAATGATTCGACGGCGATCACTGCAGCTAGATCGAATCGCTCGCGTCCGTGCAAGGTGTGACGCGCGGACTCACTCGCATCTGTCGGCGTGGCCAGCGTGACACATTCGTCTAATCAACGGCAACTCGGCTGCTCGGTGCTCGAGACTCCGGCGTTCGATCGATCGCAATCGTCCGTTATTGTTTTCTCGGCAATATCAGCTTTACGGAAAGCTCGCGTTCCAGCGATAATACTTTGGCAGCAATGAACGGAAACAAAGTTGAACAAAGCAATCCAATTTTCCAAATAGATACTCGGCTTGCGTAGCGCGTAATCGACTCGTTTTCAGGGGGCTTTTGCATCGACCGTCTGCAACGGCGCACTGGATCTTCGGAGATACGTAATCGAGATAAAAAAGCAGAGCGATCGAGCGGGAACGAACTGGCGCGTGATTCCGAGCCGGAGCTAATTGAAATTGTTTTTTCGCCGCAGCGAGCGCCGGTGCACGCGCCCGTACGCTCTCCAAGTTTTTGCGCGCGACATTGCCTCCGAACGACTTAATTGCTTGGTTTCTCCGATGCCCGCACCCACCAACATTCTCCACGCTCCGGTGAATCGCCGGCACACCAGCTGCGGATGCGTCGAGCTCTCGGATCTGATTAACCAATCAGAGAGGCGCCGAGTGTCTGGCCAAAAGATGCGCGGACGAAGCAAACGATGCTTTACTTGCACCGTTCGAGCCGAGTGGAAGTCGAGCGGAGAGCGCAGGCCCGGGCCCGCGCGAGCAAAACACCGAATGCATTATGGCGCGGCCGACTGGAAAACCTATGCATAAATTGTCGCGCTTTGCGACTACAGCCATGATTGCTTGCATTTTTCATCCAGTTGCGCGTGCAACTCGTCAGTTTCTCTACTCGGTGAACCGGCCGATATCGAGATGACGCTCAGCCAACGTTTTCAATGGAACGCTCAAAGGAGAGCTCGCGTATCTCGATTAAATCGACCCGATCATCAGTTGCACAGTCACGCAGACTCGGCAATTATTCAAATTGACCGCTCGGCGTCGCGACTGTGCAGGTGAGCGTGTCGAGAAGGCTGCTGTCTGCCAAACGTCAAATCCGCGAAGAACGAGCCAACAAAGCCCCGGCAGGCTTTAGCATATAAATCCGCCGCGACGTATATTCGACAATATATTCATAAGTTGTTTTTGTTTAGCAGTTGGCAATTACGAGCGCGATATCGTGCCGCGCAAAATGGAAAAGCGAAGATGTAGCCATGAACGGCGAATAAGCGTTCGGGGGCGTGTGTGCGTCGCGTCGAAACAAAGCGAGCAGCGCCACGTATCGCCGGATGCCTCGCGGAATATGCATCGGCGCGAGAAGACCGTGCGTGCGTGCGTGCGTGCGTGCGTGCGTGCGTGCGTGCTTGCGCTAGCTGCAGATCGTTCTGACGAAATCGAGCATTCCGCCGGGGGCGCGCCCCCGGATAAATAAGTCCTTCGGCTCTCGGTCTATTTCCAGCGCCAGCCGTGCGCCCGCCGCCGTGCGCCAGCGCCCTCCGAATCGTAAATCAGTCCACTCGAAATTGTTTGCCCGCGCCCCGCGCAAGGCGTCGAGGCGAGAAAGGCCGCCTGCTCGCGCGAAGCCGCGCCAGGCTGCACCTCGTCTCCTGCTGCATCGCCAACTCGCTCGTCATTATCGACCAGGCTTAACGCCACTTTTGAATTGCCCGTTCCGCCACTTTTTCCGACCCGATTCCCCTCGTAATTCTTTCTTTTTTCATTTATTTCCAAACCGCTTGCTTGGCTCCACTTGGCTCCACGCGCAATTCAATCGCAAAAGCCCATTCGCGGCGGGCATCATGCAAGGCATTTGGCCTGAATCGATGATATTTGCATGATCGCGTGGAAAATTGATGAAATTTAGTGTAACATTATAATACGCATTGCCGACCGAGGAATAATGCAACACTAATCGTAGTAGCTAGTGTGGAGCTCGTGCATAGTGCAGAAATTATGCTGCCGCGCTGTAGGTGCACTTAGCCATCGTTGGCCTATGCGCAACGCATTTCAGATCAATACCAGCTGGCCGCTATTTAACTTCTATAAATAATTTTAAGCTTTACTCTTAAATGACAATGCAAAGCTTATCGAATGAGTGCTTTGGCGCTCAAGCGACCCAGCGCCGGACGCAATACGTTAATTACTGCTATTAGAGCCGAGAATGAGTTGAGAAAAACAGTGGAATTTTGCAGCGGTGTCGTCGAGTGCTGAATATCAGAGCGTTCGCGTAATGTTAACAGGTACTGGACTCCAAATAATGGTCGGGAGCAACAGCAGCTGCAACAAACGATCGCCGGCCGAGACAACAAAGCCGCGATAATCGACAGCATCGCCTCTTCCTACGGGAGTATCCAGCAGCAGCGCTATCGAGCCTCGACGGCCCAGCCGCTCAAGTCGACGATGGCGCTGGGCACGACGATCGCGACGACCACGACGCCGAGGCCGACTATGCGAGTCCACCTCGCCTACCCGTTCGCCGACAGCTCGAAGCAGAGCTGGCCGTACTACCAGGCGAGCCGAGCGAGTGCCGAGGCTCAGAAGGCGCAGATCTTCGAGGACATCCAGCGAAAAATCGTCAGCGGTAACGCGCCGACCACCAGCAGCCTAGGGCAGCCCGCCTGGAGAAATATCACTGGCAACTCGCTCGAGCACCAGCGCAGGTACCGCGCCAAGCAGCATCGGCTCTACTCCAAAGGGAAGCGCCCTCGGACTCGTGAGTACTTGCACTCGATATCTTATCGCGGATATTTTCCGTTCTCGTCCTTCTCCCGCTTATCTGCAAGTCTAGATCTGCACGCAAACCCAATCAAATCAAACCCATCCGACTGGCTGATAGGTGCCAACGTTTCCTGTATATATCATTCAATACAAATATTTGGCGAATCTATTGGATAACATCGGATATAGCGCTTGCAGCCTAACAGAGCCTAACGTTATATTTCAGCTATACGTGTATCGAAGCGAAGGGAAACTTGGTCTGAAAGCTCGACTATTTGATTTCGTTTCCGATGTCACAGCCTCAAAAAGTCGCGCCCTTCTCGTCTTTCTTGGCTGCGTCAAACTTGACACCCCGTTAAAGCCATCCGTGCTTGCGAGATCTTTTCTTTTGACAATCATCCACTCCGTCAATACATCAAACGCGCATATATTCGTTGCGGGCGAGAGGATAAGCCGTCCGATGGATGAATTTTCCGGCGAAAATCATAGTGGACGTGCAGTAATTAAATTTTTCATAAAAAATAGAAATATACGAGGGGGTTCGAGAGAAAAGTTTTGTTGGCGCGCATAGAAATGCAATATTCATGAGCTCATTGAAATTTGGATAGCAGGGCCGTTGAGGGAGATGCAGTGAGATGAGGTCAACGTCTAGATAAAAAAAGAGAGAAAAAAGCAGCACAGGCAACGCGAAGAGGGGGGTAGCGGATGTGCGCGGCGAGAACCATGGGTTTTTGCGTGCACGGACTGCAGTGTTTGCAGGCTCTAATTCGCTTACGCGCTGGGCTGTGGTACTCTTACTTATTTTTTCTCCATTTATTTATAGAGCCGAGCCCTTACGGGAGCGCTCCCGTTCAATAGCCATATTTTACGCGCGAAGGATCAAAGCGCGTGCGAGTCGCCTATGCTGCCGCTGGCAGTGCCCGTAAACGCACTCGCCCTCGCGCACTCTTTATGTCTTTATCTTGGCAGGCAGCTCCCCTCGGGCAGTGCCTTCCTGCCCCCGCCTTCTTGTCACTGTTGGCCGCGCATATTCTCGATATTGTAGCCCGAACATCCCAAGGCAATCGAGCGTGCGCGTGATGAAGTTCGAATCGGCGACGACGACGCGGCGCTGGCAACAACAGTTCGCTCCGATATTCGGCCATCGATCCGTGCGCGCGTACTCCCTCTCTCTCCCTTGCTCGCTCACGCTCTTCCGGATTCTTGTCGTCGAAGCAGAATACGGGCTGCTTTCCTCGGGGATCGGCTCCAAGGAGGTGGCGTGGAAAAAAGACGGGGTCGGTGCTTCGCAGGGGTACGCACGCGTATTTGTCTGGCCGCACTAGACGTTGACGCCTTTGTGCTCGCAGGGCTACCGAGGGACTGTAAGGTCGGTGACTGGGGAGCCTGGAGCGCGTGCAGTAGGAGCTGCGGAGTCGGTGAGACCCAGAGGACGCGGCGCGTCCTGATCAAGCCACGCCGACGCGGACACTCGTGCCCGCCCCTCAAGGAGACCAAGTGGTGCGGCAGCATCAAACCCTGTCCCGAGAACGCCAGCCTCGTCGTCGACTCCTACGAGCAGCACTGGTAGCCGCATCTAGCTTCGAGTCTAGCAGCATCTGCCGTCCTGCGACAGCCATCTCTACGCTCGCCGGCACTCCGATAACCCAGCATGCCACTCTTCCCAACGATTCTTTGCGTGTTAGCCTGCATTTCTACGACTGCCTCGCACTGTCTCCTTTGCATTTATCAATCCGTTCTTTCAATGGTTTTTTATGTTTCACTCGGCTCGCAGAGCAGCCACCGAGACGTACCAAAGACAACGCCAAATTTATTTTTAGAAGAAATCGCGACCAATCTATCATAGCACTGACTTATTGCCAAATATGCTCTTCTTTAATCCTAATCTTTTTCAATATTATCCAAATAATTATCCTAGATTTACTTATTATTTCAAAATAAACCTACATATCGTATCTTCTAGTCTAATTCTGCGACACTTTCCCGAGCCTTAGACTCATGATTTTCTTACGTGAATTAACTCGGCGATGGTATTCGAGCACAATGATTGTTGTTGGCTGAACGTGGTGTCAGTTCTCGAGGACAACAGACAAATCAACTTGGTACTCAGTTTTCCGACACTTGCAAATCAATGTAATGATTGTCGAAAGTAACAGACAACTATATACATATACACACATTATACATACATACATACATACATACTTATACATATATCTATATATGTATATATATACACACATATATCTTTATTAAACTTTTAAATTTACAACGTGTTAACGTTTTTATTGCACTGTATAAAATTCCAACTTTTGTATCTAAAAATACAAGATAACATAAAAAAAAAGTTGTAGCCCTGTAGAAGAATTAAAGTGTTTGAATGTCAAGTGCTGACACTGCCTTTAGAGTAATCTGTGGTGACTAGTAAGAGCGGTTCCATCAAGCTGCGAGTGCAAATAAATGTATGGCCGTGAGGAAAAGCGTAAACTAAAAAATAGAGGCGAGGGTTGAGCGCTCGGTAAAGGTGAAAGCGAGTGGAATGAGCTGAGGTGCAGAGAGCGCTTGGCGCTTGGCTCTTCCCTTTCTTCCCTTCTTTTTTTCTTTTCTGTCGTCGAAATTATCGAGGCCCGGCACGTCTTCAAGATATATCGGTTGATGGAGGAAGCTTCGCTTTCGCTTGGACTCGCAGAAAATCCACGAGAAAGATAAAGCAAGAGAGAGAAGCGCGCGGCTCGAGCTCCGTCCAATGAGAACGCGACTGTCACTACTTAGCGCAGTGGAGAGCTGCCCAAGACAAATTAATCGAGCTCCAATCCTCTTCCCTTCAAATGCTACATCGAGTGAGTCACCTTGTAGCCAATGTGAGACAATATAAATGTTGGATCTCGTTGAAATCTCTGTTTTTTCGACGGCGAAATTTGAGACAAGCGTAGACCAAGTAACGCTGTTCGTAAATTAAGCAATTGAATAGAACGGAATAGAATGCCAATATTTCATGGTATTCCACTCGATTTTCCATCGTAGAGAGGAGAATCCGATTGCGCGATGGACTCTCTGCCTGTTGGGCTTTCTATTCGGTTCGGGATTAGAATACATTCGTTGTGTGGCAATTCATCGTGCCGCCCCCTCTCGGCCCCTCTTGGCCCCTCTCGGCCCCTCTCGGCCCCGCTCGGCCCCGCTCGGCCCTGCTCGGCCCCGCTCACTCCCGGGCTTGAATGCTTTGCGAACGAAGGGCTTTTTGCGAGACTGGCTTTGCATACATACGAGTGCTGAACGCAGCCGCTGCGTGCCAATGAATATCACGCACACGCACATCTATACGTACACACGCTCCAGCTCTGCGAGTCTTTTCTCGTGTGATCTAGCACGCACTGCGCTACTTGATCTTTTTGTAGAACGTGCAAAAGTGCGAATGAACCCGTAGAAGAAATCACCAACAATTAAAACATTGCCGCTACACAGTGAACACTTTGGCGACAAATTTTATCTTTTCAACGTGGCATATTATTTCATGGATTATTTCAATTATGAATTGCTTAATAGCTTGTAATTATATCATCAAACTAATCTATCTAGCTATTCATTCAAACTTTACCAAGCTGCACCTTTTCCTTCACATTTTTTTACTTCGTCGAGTAAGTTCATTTTCCAATGTTCTCGCAATTTTAATTATTCTTGAAAATAACTTTTTCTACGTTAGTCGTTCAATATCTTGATGCAATATGCGTGCATAATCAAGTTTTTAAAATGTATATGTTACCCATTGACTTTACGACCTAAGTCTTTTAAGAAATTAAAAATCGAAATTGCAAAAATTTACTTTTAAATTACAATAGATAACGTAAAGCTTTGTATTTAATATAACTTTTACGAGTTGGCTAATTTTAGTACAAAAGGCAAGTTTTGCCAAAATATAAATAATTTTTTTAATAATGAATTATGCTGAATTATTCAAATTATATATTACAACTATTTACTTCGCATAACACAAGAATAAACCAATCTGAACGTAACTCTGATCTAAAACGCTAATTATTATATAAATTATATGAAGGTGTGACAACTATTTAAAATCTATGTCCAGTGTCGGAATACTTGATCCAAATTTGACAGTCAAATATCTATTTATTTATCAAAACTACGCAAAAATATTTTCTTTTACATAATTTAAAAAGTATACTTTAAGAATAAATACGAAGTTAAGATAAATATTGTATTTAGGAAATCAAAAACCTACGGCTATTTTGTTGATATTTTTATATTTTTTTCTTAATAATTAACAAATTAAGATTTATTGTAAAAGTATTGCATAATTTCTGAAAAAATACATTAATATCATTATAACTTTTAAAGAGTTAGCGATAAATTTTCAGATAGTTATTAGTCATATTTGATTGTTTAATAAATTTTCTTCGAAAGTCACACTAAAATTTTTAAATTGATAGTACTATTTAGAATACTGAATTTTAAATTAAAAGAAATATTTATATTGACACACACATTATTTTCCATAGAATAAAAAAACGTCAATTGTATAAAAGTCTATTATTAAATTGTCGAATTACGACAAATAGACACATATATAAAGAAAAGTTTCTATCTGCTAAAAAAATTAAAAAAAAAACTTTAATGGAGGAAACGTAATATCGACATGTAAAAAAAAACGATTTTTCATGTTTTCACTTCGTTAGCGAGGTTCTTCGTTTTAAATGAACTGATGAACTTGAGTAACATTTTTCAAAATTATTGGAACACAAAGAATGTAAAAACTTGTAAATGTTTTATGAAAGAAAAAACTTTTTCAAACATTAGAACATTAACTATTACAGTACTGGAGCTCTTTAATAAGGAAACCTAAATTGAACAACAATAACCTAAATTTAATTAAGCATATTATGATCAAAAAATATGGTAATATATCATGCTCCATATTAAAATATTGCTACTACAATAGGACAATCTAAATCTTAAAGAATGTATTTCCAAATGGAAACTTGCGATACTTGTTGTTCAATGTAAATGTAAAGTAAATGTGACAAAGTCCATGTGAATGACAGCTATACGTCGTGCATGTAAGTGCAACTGAAATGACGTTATGAACAAGCCAAAATTTTCTTTTATTTTTACTTATTATATGTTAGAGTAAATTGAAATGTAATATAATTGAAGCGATAGAGTAATTTGAATATAAGTTGACTCGATAAATGATAACCTGAAGTTTATTCTCATAGTCGTAAGTGTATATATGCGATACACATTGGTTTTTTTCACATTTAACTACATCTACATATATGTATATCACTTATCAAAATGTGTTTAATAACCCAATTGGATGTAATGTATACATGACTTAAATTTGTCAGATCACCATTTGGTAATACACGCAGAACCAAAATTATTCGAGCAATCATTTATAATTGTTAATTTTTCCTTGCAGTAAATTTAAAATTAAATTGCTATTTTTATTTCCGAATGATAAATATATTTGAAAGTTTTTAAATGAGTTTGTAATAAATACTTATCTAACATAAGTTTTTAGCTTTTATGAGTGCACTCGCAAAATGTTAATGGAAACAATTGATAGCTTTTTTCAACAGTTTTCCACGCCTGATAACGTGTGGAAGGCATATCGTTGAAATTATTTTGAAAACATATCATTCGATCTCTGAAAAGTGCTTCTATAGTTTTCAAGACTGCTCACATTCGTCGCAATTGTGCACTGATAAAACTGCAGACGGAACATTAAACGTTTTAGAATTAGTTCGAATAATATGCCTTCCACCAAAGCTCTTATAGAGCCCTCAAGAAAATAAAGCTAAATTGCTAGACTAAAGTCAAAGAATTATGTGAATAAACTTATATATGTACAACATTAGTCCTGGGTTGCCTCTCTTTCATAATAAAAATCCATATGGCAAAAAATAATGTTGGATATATGTGATTGTATAGTACGTGTGTTCGATATGAAATGCGTCAAGCAGTGGATAACAAACAATATAGCTGCATGTCACATTATACAGGCTTTTTCTACATTTTGTGCAACATTTGTCATCATAAACTATCACTGCAATTTTGACCTCAAAACTGTCCTGAGTACAGCATAAATTTATTAATGTGCATGTTGTCAAAGTAATAATTGATTATTATTAAAATGACACTATGCCCTTTATATTGTCATTAAATACATTTACATTGCCTAGAAACTTAATTTCATTCAACTTCATTTTTCTGCCATTAAATTTCGAACTAAAAACATAATTTATAACTCATAAGTTTCTGAAGATATTTTTATAATTATATTCACTGTAATGTCGAAATTCGTCATTAAGAAAGTCTCTAACAACTCGTTGATTGTGTTATCATTACAAAACATCAGGTGTGCATTAATGATTAACATAGTTATAAATAATTTACTCAATGAAAATAAAAAACAAAACATTCACTCGAGTGTAAATCTTCTCCACGTATCGACGTATTGACGTTGATTTTGTTAAATATCATTATAATACACAGTTGTTTGATACTCTGAAATGAGTCTAATTTCAAGCTAACAAAGAATGTAACAATGATGATGGAAGATGTACAAGGCACTGTGCATTTTAGCTTTTAAGATATTAGTGATTAGGTTTAGAGTTAAGCAGCAACGTGTAGTGGTGTATAATATAAGTTTATATTACATAATAAAATCTGTCAAAAATGTAAAAATATGACTATTTCCTTTTTATATAATATTTCTGCAATATTTTCAGCAATATTTAATAATATTTAATAACTTTGGTCTTAGTCGTAGTATGATAAATTATTTTTCAAGATATTTTGAACAGTTATTCCAACGTTTCAGTTTACAAATCAGTTACTTATTTCTACAATAGTTTCATTTGTGGGTGCAAAATCAATCTAAGTATTTTTCTTCATCTGAACTAGTTTCAAACGCTCATCTTGGAACTTTTATTATTTCTTAAACAAATGGTGTGTGATGCGGTCTGATGTACGTATAGTAATGAAGATATGGTTGAGATATTTTGAAGATTTCATATAAAAATAACTAGAAATTATTTTTATGATTTAAAAGTATTGACTTATAATTATCAACCATGGGTTCTATGTAAGTGTAATGGCATAATCCATATCAGGTAAATATGAATATTCTGAAAAAAAAGAATCTAAATTAAAAATATATTTATTACGGTTTAAATTATGTACTACAATTTGTTATTCATAATAAATTATATATTTAGAATAGTAAATAGTTTTGTATCATTAAATTTCTTCAGATAATCTGAGCAATAATCATGTTTCTCAAACCACAAACTTGTATGATTTTTGTAGTAGTTTTACCAATCAAAACTAAACGAGTACTAAAAAATTACAAACAATATAAACAAAAATTATTTCAAATAACAAAATTTTTCTTTTTCAAGGTAAGTAAAAATATTGATAATGGTACAAGTCTACTACATATATACGACCACATTCTCTATGCTATCTCGGATATGAGATACTATAGTAAAATGGTACATTTCGATCAAAATTTTATGAAAAAAAATTCATGTATTTCTCGGTATTTTTATACCTAATAGTACTTAATATACCTAAAATAATGTAATCTCAATTGCGCAAAATTATAATTTCTTATTTAATATTTTATAGCAAAAAATCCAATATTGTTAAAAGTCATTTCCAAAAATTTCTTAAGAAATTATACAAAATTAATTTTGATTACTTACTCTACTAAGTAACGAATAATATTTGTTTCCAAGGTATTTTTTGTCATATTTTTTCATATTTCAATATTTTTCTGCACTGCAATACAAGAATTAAAATTACCGTGGTAGAAATTTGCATGGTTGAAACAGGCAAGCGATTAGTGACCAGCTAAGAATATCGACCATAAATTTAATGCTGTGTATTTATCGTTGAAAACCTGAGAAGAAATAGTAAACAAAATTCAATAGATATTTATGATAGTTCAAAAAAAAGGCTTCGGACATGTCGTGATATTCGTTTTTTTCCAAAATCTGTTCTTCAGTAGCTAGATTCATTTCAACATAAGTGTAGCTTCAACAGCACTTACGGTGAAATATGTTTTTAATTCTTGATGTTTTTTAGATAATACGATTTCGAAGATGACGTTGAATTTTTACTCGGAAAACAGTTTTTTTTTATTTGTTGTTATAATATAAGGAAAAAATCGCTAAACAAATTTTTCAGAAGCAGTGATCAATAGTTTCTAATCTCAACTTTACTTTGACGCCATGGAAATTGCAATAATACGTATAAATGGATAAGTTATACGGATAAAAGTCGTAATACGTAATTTTTTGTAAAAATTGGAGAAAAATTTAAAGACAATTTAAAGAATTCAAGTCACACATTAAAATTATTAGTATATGCACTTTGAGGTACTTCAATATATGTATTTCATTGCTTATTTATTAAAATACCAATAAAAACAGTTTCAGCACTACAATAATATATAAACTGAAAATACTATAGGCGACATGAAAAAAAAGCAACTATCTCAATCATATTTTCGTTTTTTTTTTCTTTCTTTAAAAAAAAAATTATTTATAAATATTCACGGTGTGAAAAAAACGAAAACAACTAACTAAATACCAATAGTGACATAAATCACTTAGTGGTTTTAAAAATTTTAAAGCTTTCAAAGATTGAAGATTGAAGATAAAGTAAAAAGAGCAAGCTGAAGTGGTATTGTTTTTACACACATTTTATGATACTAGTAGCGAATAAGCTGTTTCGTAAAAACAAGAAGTTGAAATCGTTCTAATTAGCTTTTATTACTAAACGATCATCTGGTTTTTGAATGTGTAAAATTGTAATTAAGGTTGTAATGTCATAATCTTGATTTAATAAGTATAATAAACGTTTAATAACCTCCGTTAATCCGTTGAAAAAACTAAAAGATTATTTATTAGTTTTTGATACGACAAATCATGAATTTGAAAAGGTGTTTCGTCATAATACACATTTTTCTGCTGTGATATGTATTTTGTAAAAAAATGAAACATCTAGCTTTGAAAAAAGTAATTTATGTTAAATATATTATAATAATAAAAAATGAAAAAGAAGATAAAAGGTGCGTAAATAACTCACCTAAACTTATATATTTTAATTTTTGTTCTATATAAAAAAGTGATGGCTTGCTTTATTTCTTTTTAATTTGGAATTTAATTTATAAATGTAAACAAAGTTTCCAAATGATCACGGATAAACACTTGACAAAAAAAAAACAGATGACAAACAGTTACAATAACATAATCATTAATACGAAAATGTCCTATGAAAAGCTCACAATTATAGACAAATATTTTAGACCAATATATTATATTAGACCATACATTAGACCAATATAATAGAAAATAAAGAAAATAAAATTGAGAAGCACATCTGACGGTTTTATTTATTTGAAAAGAATAAAAAAAAACTAATTCAGTGCGCTACTCGTTACCTATATAGCTAAACACCTAATCAATCGCTAATATCTACCTATGGTGAACATGTCAAAGCATAATAGAATTGTTTTTCATGTGCAGTGTATTTTAGAGTATTTTTATTTTGTCTATGATTGATTTGATTTAAGCATAAAACTAAATATTACTAAATACAAATAAGAGATGAATGCGCGAAGTGCGTTTGGTGACACTAGTTTACGTTAAATATGTTAATCAATATGACAAAAATGAAAAAGAAAATAAAAGCGCGCGTTTGACATCACTCAGTCACGAACAATACAACCTCAAGTTCATTCATATAGTAGTGTCAGAAGAATTGTTGCGTGTAACGCCCCATAACCCCATTGCATCAGTGGTCTGCTTGAAAACAAACATGGCGGTTTAAATTCGTTTACGTCGTCGCAAGAGATAAAGACGAACCTGCGGCGAACGGTGACAAACGTCACAATTTGTTTGCCGACTGTTGTTGCAAGCGGCACGTGCACTGCATGGATTGGTCCAAGCGGTTAACTTGTAATTATAATTAAAAGTAAAAGGTTTTGTTTTTACTAACGCAAATAAATTTGAAAGGTAAGTTATTTTTAAATAAAAATGCCAACGCTTCATAAATTTTGAAGGTTAGCAAAGATTGTAGTTTCTGATATTATTAATTTTATAGTTAAAATTTTGGTTTTAATTCACTAATTGGATACATTGTTAAGTGATAAAAATATTAAATGAATATGTTTTTTTATTTATATCAAATAAATGTCATTATATTTATAAGACAATATTTTTTACAGATGTGGATTTACATACTATTGTACCCTTTGCTCTTCAATATTGGCCCAATTGTGGCCAATAAAAAAGTTAATAAATTTGTTACAACACTAATAGATGCTAAATGGCAAGACACACCATTGGTTCTAGAAGTTGCAGAATATTTGAATGATGAAAATCCTAATTATTTTTGGAGATTCGTTGATGAAGTGTGTAGTCGATCATCTGATTTTGAAAGGATAGGTACAGATTATAATTTATAGAAAATGAAATCACTTTGTTCATATGTATCAATTACTTTGACTTCTCAATACTTTGCCATATCAATATCCTCATTAATGTTCTTTCAGATAGCACAAAAGATCATTATGATTTGGTAATATCTATAGCAGAAAAATTTTTAAGTACAGCTGAAATAGGCGTCTTAAAGTTAGGAATGTCGTTGAGAATTCATTCTGCTAGAGTAGAGATGTTTTCTCAAATGGCTGAAAATAAACGTCCTGCTGGTCTAGAATGCAGTAATTTTGTTGATGTTGGCGGAAAATTTACTTGTGATGTTGAAGAAATATCAAAACTTTTGAATCAAGTCAGTGCTATTAAAAGCTTAATCTTGTATCGATAACATAAACATTACTTATTATTTTTCTAGGATGATTTCAAACCTATAGATACTTCTAGTGTGGATCATTTTTATCTAGGAAAACAATTGTCTGAAAAAACTTTAGTCTTGTATGGACAAATGGGAACAAAAGAATTTTCAGATCTGCATGAAAAATTAAAATCTATAGTTGAATCAACTAAAGTTAACTATATTCTTCGTCATTATGTCAAGGTACGCATCAGTCAGTAGTGCTTAAAATATACAGTGGATTGTTAATATAATACTTTAAGATAAATAGTTATTTTCGTTTACTATTGCAGGAGAGACCTGACAGGAAGTTAAGACTCTCCGGTTATGGTGTTGAATTACAAATGAAATCTACAGAATATAAAGCCACAGATGATTCTGATATAAAAGATAATCAAGAAAAAACTGAAGAAGATGAAGATGATGAATCAAATGAAATTGAGGGAATTAATTTTGCAAATTTAAAGTAACAATTTACAAATGTTTATTATTTTTTAAAAAATATTTATATAATAAATAACTTATTTAACTTATTATTGAATTCAGGAAGTTATTTCCAGATGATAATAAAAAATTAGATAAACTCCAAACTTATCTTTTGGAGAACAGCCACGAAATAGGAGCTCTTAAAGTTTGGCAATTTCAAGAATTAAGTCATCAAGCAGCAGAAAGAATAATGAACTCTCCACCTACCGAAGCTATTAATGTACTCACTGACATTTCACAAAACTTTCCAATGCAGGTAAAATCATTGTTTTATAATACCTTTTTATTAACTAATGAAACTTTAATTTCTCACACTTAAGGCAAAGTCATTAATAAAGACAAGAGTTAGCACTGAAATGAAAAAAGAAATGAAACGCAATCAAGAAATGTTTTCTGTTAGTCTGAACATTCAGCCTTCAGAAACTGCTCTATTCATCAATGGGTTATATTTTGACTTGGAAGTTATTGATGTGTTGACACTTTTAGAATCTTTACGTTCGGAACTTCGAGTTATGGAATCACTTCATAGAATAGGTTTTTAGAAGTTTCAATCACTGTGCAACTTAAATATTATTTCTTTGAAATAATAATATTCACGTTTCTAGGATTTAGCAGCCATAAAATGAGTAAACTCTTAGCATTAGATTTATCGAATCGAGTGAACAATCAAGATTTTGCCATTGATATTCGTGATTCTGCTATCATTTGGATAAATGATATTGAAAATGATTTTCGTTACAGTCGTTGGTCTCCATCTTTAACAGAACTTTTGCGTCCAACATTTCCCGGTATGCTTCGAAATATACGCCGAAATCTATATAATCTTGTAAGTTCCTTGATTATTTTTCAATTTTGCTCCTCTGTAATTATAGGAAAATTCTCATTATTACATTTTTTATAAATTAAGGTTCTTATAATAGACCCATTGAGTGAAGAGTCGGCGCCATTGGTTGCTTTAGCTGAATCTTTATATGCTCACACCGCACCGTTAAGGATAGGCTTTGTATTTCATACTAATTTTAATACAGCTGCAATAGGAGCCACAGATCCAAGTGTTGCAATCAACAACGCTTATCATTATTTGACGGAAAGTAAAAGTTTCAAAGATGCTACTAAATTTTTGTCCAGTGTTGGTATTATTTACTCGTTGATTAATATTTTACTTTTAATACCTGAAAAGCGAAACTAATGTCAATTTTTTTATTTTTAGTTATATGAAAACATTGGTTCAAACGGAATAGAAATAAGCGACGTTAAAAAATCTTTGAAATCAGTTGATCCAAAAGCTGACATAAGCTACATTTTCGGAGAAGAATCAGAATATGACGTTGGTCGCCATTTGGCCAGCGATTTTATTAGAAGAACTGGCTTCAAAAAATTCCCTCAGGCTCTTTTGAATGGGATTCCACTTCCATCTGATCAATTATATGCTGATTCTTTTGAAGAAGCAGTATTATCAACCATCATAATGCAAACACCTATGATTCAAAAAGCTGTTTACAGAGGTGAAATCACAGAAGGAGATGATGTTCTTGATTTTCTTATGAATCAACCTAATGTAATGCCAAGGTAAAGCCTGTTTTTAGTCTAAAAATTAAATTGTAATTTTTGAAAAATATTCAATTTGAACATATTTACACGCTTTCAGACTAAATGAGCGCGTACTCAAAGGAGAAAAAGACGTCTGGCTCAACTTAATAGGCTCAGTACCTAATGATGTGGATTATAAAAAATGGAGTTTTCAAGACATGTCAACATGGCTAATAGAAAATACACGATATGTGTACATTCCTCGAAAAACCATAATTAATCACTTATATACCGTGTGGATAGTAACTGACTTAGATCTTAAGACTGGGAGAAAATTACTCTCGGAAGCACTAGATTATTTGGTAAGATTGTTTTATATCCAAACATACAAATTAGTTACTACAATATTTTTTGTTCTATAATTTACTTATAACTGTTAAGGAATCAAATCCTGATGCGAGAGTTTCAATCATTGTTAACAACAACAATAATAATGAACAGGAATCAACTATTAATAAAATTGCTCTTGCCGCTATTAGTGCTTTGTCAGTGGAAAAATCTTATGAATATATTCGTAATTTAGTCAAAGATGATACTTACAAACTGATTAAAAATAAGGAATTTGTAATTCAGGTAAAACTGTGTAATGATTATTCTTCAAAAAATCTTATATTGAAAAATTTTAATATTTGTTTATTCAGGAAGAAGCAATTAAGGAACAACTGGAAAAACAAAATCTTAGATTAAAAATTCACAAGCATTACTGCGAACATTTTTTGAATATGGATGTTGACGAAAGAGCAGCAATATTCAATGGTCGCGTTATTGGGCCATTCGATGAAAATGAAGAATTTACCAGTGATGATTTTGCTCTTTTAGAAAGACATAGTCAAAGTACCTATGGTGATAAATTGTTTGAATATTTATTAAAAAATCAAGAAACTGATGATAATGACTATGGTAATTAGATCGATTCATTAACATGTCTGTTTGAGTGTGATTTTTAATTTCATAACTAAATTGTAATAATTAAAAAAAATTTTTTTATTAGAAAAAAATAATATTTCGGATGATATGATTATGAAAATCACATCACTTCTTGTACCAAGACCGTACACAAGAAATCGATTTGATGTACCTTTCTATGGTGATGAATACAGGTATGACGGTATTAAAAAAAACAACTATCTTGCTACGTATTTTGTAGTTTTACTAACATTTTTTTTTATAAATTACAGTTCCGTAAAGATTCCTGCCTCAAATTCAGATGCAGTAGCATTCAATTTGATTGCTATAGTTGATCCAGTTTCTCGTGGAGCTCAAAAATTAGGACCAATATTAAATGTTCTTCGTCAATCTTTGAATTGCAATATAAAAGTATTTCTGAATTGCGTGGAAAAGAATAGTGATATGCCTCTCAAAAGGTATTTATATTACAAATCATTCTTTCTACATTGTATCAACTAGTTACTGTTTTTCTTACTTGGAAAAATGTTTTCAGTTTTTATAGGTTTGTTCTTGAGTCTGAATTACAGTTTACTAATAATGGAGATATAGCAGGAGCAACTGCTAAATTTACAAAATTACCCACTTCATCACTTTTAACACAAAATATTCATGTTCCTGAAAATTGGTTGGTAGAAGTTGTTAGGAGTGTTTATGATTTAGATAACATCAAATTAGATAATGTTGCTATAGGAGTCCATAGGTATTCAAAATATTATTTATGGTTAATAGCATCTTTGAGTATTATTAATATAAATAGTGTAACGTTATCAATTTTTTCACAGTGAATTTGAATTGGAATATCTATTACTCGAAGGGCACTGTTTTGAAGTTATTGCTGGTAACCCACCAAGAGGCTTACAGATTACATTAGGAAATGAAAAACAACCTGTAATGGTAGATACGATTGTCATGGCAAATTTAGGCTATTTCCAACTAAAAGCAAATCCAGGAGAATGGTTACTTAAACTTCGTCAAGGGCGGTCATCTGAAATTTACGATATTACAAGTATCGAAGGCTCAGATATAATTCATACAAAGGATGATGTTAGAGTCTTAATTAGTTCCTTGCGAAGTAATGTTCTCAAATTGAAAGTTACGAAAAAACAAGATAAAGCCGGCGTTGATTTATTAGCTGATGATGATAAAGGTTCAGGAATATGGGATTCTATTTCAAGGTACATATTAATTTTTATTTTTTTTTCGAGTTAATTTTAATTGCAAAATAAACACTGCAGGACTTTTACGAATTCTGAAGAAAGCGATGAACAGGATCAAAAAATTAATATATTTTCTTTAGCTTCTGGACATCTGTACGAAAGATTTTTAAAAATAATGATGCTCAGTGTCATCAAGCATACAACGTCGCCAGTAAAGTTCTGGTTTTTAAAAAATTATTTATCTCCAACTCTAAAAGTAAAATACCCAATAATCAGAACATTGATTAAAACTAATAACCAACTTCAAAATATAATATTTTGACATGTTTCTAGGACTTTCTACCACATATGGCTAAAGAGTACGGCTTTGAATACGAACTCGTTCAGTACAAGTGGCCACGATGGTTACATCAACAAACCGAGAAACAAAGAACTATCTGGGGATATAAAATTTTATTCCTTGACGTTTTGTTCCCACTCGACGTCAAAAAAATTATATTTGTTGACGCTGATCAAGTAAGTTCAGACTAATTTATTAAAGTTTTATAAATTTTAAGATTTTAAATTCATTGATCAACATGTATCTACATTAGGTTGTACGAGCTGATTTGAAAGAGTTGGCTACAATGGATCTTGGTGGTGCCCCATATGCTTACACTCCATTCTGTGATAGTAGAAGAGAAATGGATGGTTTCAGATTTTGGAAACAAGGATATTGGAGGAACCACCTGCAGGGTCGTTCGTATCATATTAGTGCTTTATATGTTGTTGATCTCAAACGATTCCGACGCATTGCCGCAGGAGATAGATTAAGAGGTCAATATCAAGCTTTAAGTCAAGATCCTAATAGTTTATCTAATTTGGATCAGGTACACACTTTATATTTTTCTTATTTCGATTACACTTTACTTGGAATAAAAGTATATTACAGTGTTTATTGTGCTATTTTATGGGTACTTATGATGTTTTTCAAGCTAAAACAATAGTAGATCTTTTCAGCAATTCCTTGCTCACGCGGCTTCTGAACGAATTAATTTCACATTAATTAAAAAGTTTGAAAGCAAATATAAATAATCATTAAAACCATTCAGCGTTTGCTATATGTTTTTTTAGGATTTGCCTAATAATATGATTCATCAAGTTTCTATCAAAACATTACCTCAAGAGTGGCTTTGGTGCGAAACTTGGTGTGACGATAGTTCTAAAAAATATGCCAAAACTATTGATCTGGTTTGTCACGTTTTATTTTTAAAATTATTAATGAAATATATAATATAAATAGATTATTGTAAATTTTAGTGTAACAACCCAATGACTAAAGAAGCCAAGCTGCAGGCGGCAATGCGTATTTTGCCAGAATGGGTTGGATATGACGAAGAAATCAAAGCATTGCAAATGAAAATAGAAAATGAACATAGACAAGTTGAAAAAGAAGAAGGTAACACTATTATTTTGTGATGCAAAACGTCCAAATCAAAACAATATCTCAATGAATAACCATTATGTTTACAATTCTTTACAGAACCTGCCATAGACGATTCTACAAAACATCAAGAATTGTAATTTCATTGATTTCCAAGAAATCGTAACTTTTTCACGGGATTGTGTACAAAGATAGATTTTTAGTGTGTCCCATCAATTTCACTAGTAAATTTAGTATACAGCTTCGTGAACTTGTGAATTTATACATTAACAATGTCAATACTCGTTGTAAAGTTATTTTCTATAGATTGATAAAATTCTGTATCTAACACTTTTGTCAAAATTGTAATAAAATTGTGATTACGCAAGAGGATATTGCGATTCCTACTTTTTTGTACAGTACTAAAAGTGTTCAACATTAATTTAATAATAAAAAACACGAAATAAAAAAAGCTTAGCGTTGTTTCTAAAACTAGTGATTAATAATGGTTTGAGTTTAAATAAACTCGAAAAACTTAACCATAGCCACTAGCAGTTTTGCTACTTCACATTGTCATTGTATTGAGATTTTAATGTTTATACAAATAATTTATAACCTAAACTATTTATATCTTTTACAATTCATTACAAAAATTATCATTAAAATGAGCCGATAGTTCAAGTGGTTGAATTATTAAAAATTTTCTAAATATTTATATTGGTTTCATAATGTTTTTTTAATACAGACATTTAATTTTTAAATAATTTCATTCCTTGATTATCCTGTGAAGAAAATTGGTCGATTCAATTACGGAACATTGCCTATAACTTTTTCGGCTACAAGACCGGTCAGAGATTAAAAATCTTGAATCTGTAGTATTCATAACATCGTAAGAAGCATATCCAAGCTACATTTAATATACCTTTTGTATATTTTAATGAAACGCAGTTGAAAAGATGGTTTGGTATCTTGGTTACAATGAAATTTGAACAGTATCGATGTTTTCCTCAAATTCAGAATACAGATTACTTTTAAATGAATATTAACAAAACGGTCTTTATACTTCAATGAAAGTAAATAATTATTTATTTCTTTGATCCGGTCAAAAAAACATTTTCAAGCCTTATTGATACCGACTTGTGTAAAGAGTATGAGAAAATTTATATGATCAATTAACCAGCTTCACTATAAATAATTCACCTTCACAAATGTTACAAACGTAACACTAACAGAAAGAGTCACGTATCAATATCGATTCATTATCAGATTGGTATACATATGTAAAAATGTTATCATGATCCAATGAACTAACATTGGCCAACATTTCAATCGAAACAGAATCAATAGTACATCATTAAACGCGTAACTCGCAAAACTACTTCAGTTTGAAAGTACGTACATTCACATACTTAGATTGTTTACGTAACTATTGATTAGTAATTTGACAAGAAAAAATTAATAATATGTCAGAAGAACATAAGAAAATAGTGAAAATTAGCAAAACAGGGTAAGTTTAATATTTTTTCTTTTGTGAAAACGATTTTTCAACGTTACACGTAGTGCTAAATTTTGTAACTATCTATCTCAGTTTTTTCTCACTTGCAATCTCTTATCGCCACGTATTCGCCCTCGCCGAGAATCATAGTAAACAGAAATAGTTGAGATATTTAGTTCTACAATTATTACAAGTCAAATAATGAAATTATAAATCTGACATTTTAATTAAACTTCTGTTATTATTTTAATATTTATTTGATAGTATTATAAAATATGTTATCGATAAAATGGTTAATTTCTAAATAATAATTGGTTTTACAAATGTCTGCATCTCACATTATATTCAACATAAAAAGTAACTTTGTCTATCTTGTTTAAAATATCTAGAGCGCGCAAAATCCTTGAAACAAGGTCAAGCATATCGAAATAGCATATTAATAGTATTTCACCTGTTATTCCTTGCAGTTAAGTTACGCGAAAAATTATTTACTGATATGTCTACAATAATATAGCAAATCAAAATTCTAGTAGCGATAGTATCTGGTAATTATGTATTACAAACATAAGAAATATATCATATTCACCAGAAATATAAGTTTCTATTTATTAAATATATAAACTTAGTTAGAGATAATTGTTGCCAGGTACATTGTCATCAAAATAAAAAAAAACTATTCTAGACGTACATTTCGTGAACTGAAATTTGATTGACAGAAAAAATAATAAATTTAAGTTTTATTGGCCATTTTTCGACACTTAGATAGATAGTACTTAAAAATAATGTCAAGATCCAGATATTATTATAGATTTGGTAAATACTCAGCCTTAACAAGTGATCGTTGCTGATAATTAGTTTGGAAGAGGTATTATAAAAACAATAATATAAGCAATTATAAAAAAGTATATTTAGGAACAAAGCAAATCATCATGATTGTTATTATTAATCTCTACTACTATTATTACTGTATTTTTAGTAAATAACGCTATAGATTATTTTTATAGCGTCACTTTTCGTGATAATACTATTGATAGAACTATTGTAAAATTCAGTCAGAAAATTTTGTGATGAAAATTAACTATTTGTTCTGATATTCTGATCAATTTAATTTTCAGTTTTATCAGCAAATAAAATTAACAAATAATACTACACTAAATAAATTGTTAAGATTAATTGAATCATCGATATCTTTTGAATTCTATTATCAGTATATACCTATGTGCGTATCCATTTTATTCATTGATAGTCTTACATCGTTTAAAATATTGATACCAACGTTCGTATGAACAAACTCAAGGTTACTGAAAAAAGATTTTCCTTGTTCAGACATAAAAATTATAGAATTGTCGACAGTGTTTTGATTCTTATCGGAAAAAATCTATTAATATGCACTCGCAGTAAAATATACAATTCAATGCTCTCGTTCGCTTTTTTCTATTTTTCAAAATTAAATTTTATCTGCTACTACTTCGCGCGTTAAGATTTTCGTTTACAGGAAAGCGATATTATAACGAATATATATATAAAGATTCAATACATCATAGAACTCAGCCGTAGGGTTTTGTGGTTATACCCCGCTATAACATTCCATAAATACATTAATTAATGTAAATTAATATGCAGACTGTGCTCAAAGCTTCCACTTTAAAAAATTATTACAAAGTGTAAAAAAAATGTATGTTCACAGTTGGCTTTCTTATAGTACTTCGAATCTATCCCGATTTGATTAGTGTAGCAGTTTCTTCTAAAAAAATGACTAATAAAGTAATGTTTGAATTATTTACTCGTTCTAATTAAGACATATATAATACAAAAATGTAACGTTATATTAATATAATATAATAATTTTTATATAATTTCAAGTTTGAACGTACATTATAAAATAAGCTTGTTGGAACAAATAAGCTATTAATGAGTTAAAATTGATTGGTATTAAGAATTTTCATTTGAATTAAACTAACAATTTATATTTTTTTCTCGTTCATGTGTATCATTATTTTATTATTTCCTGATCTGTTATTTTACATTAGTTTATATATTTATGGAAAGATATCGATGACCGCCGAGAACAAATACATCTCTATATCAATATTGTATCTCTTGTTATTTTATTAACAGTATTGATGACGTATTGTAATCTTATTGTACTTACAATATAAGAAGTTGTAAGAATGTAAATGTAAAGAAATGTAATGTTTCTCATTCTTTTGAGATAACGTATTTAAAATTATACTTTTGTTCATTAGCATTCTTACGTCCGTATGACACAACTTTGCATTTACGCTATTTATCCAAATAACCCTAAAGTGTAATTATTTTGATCGTAGAGATATAATTTTTACATGCAATATTAAGATAATTTTATATTTAAATGTATTATTTGTCATTTGACCACTCATCTATGTAAATAAAAAACAATCGCTGTCAGTTTGAATTCTTCTTACGAAAACATCTTTGAAGTAGATTGTAGCATTCGTGTATATACAGTATTTTTATTCTAGATGATTCATCTTGAGTAAGAGTTCAATAATCTGAAACAAAAAAGTCATTGTATTTAGCGATTGAACAAAATCAGTCGAGAAATTTGAGAGTGTAGAGAATCCATCAATAGTTATTTAAAAGTTAACATGATTGAGCGACATTAGTGAGATACTTATTAAATAGTGCTTCTGATCAATCAGAAGTGCGCAAACAAAACTTTGATAACGGATGCTCTGTAAACAACCTACTCGTTCGAGTGAATAAATAAATAAATAAAATAATTATCTAATTATTTATTTGGTTCTTTCATTACTTTTGAAGCCATATTGAACCAATTTTTCTTTAATGCTTAGCAGACTGTTGGAGTCTATTATTCTCTACTTATTTTTCTTGAAAAGTGTGGATGGTTTAATATCCCTTACATCATGAATGAATTGAAGATGTCTACAAAATTGCCATGTCTCACCGATTTCTCTATGTATGCATATTAAATTGTGCATATCTTTGAAATTGTTGTTTCATGATAAAATAAAAGTCGAATGGTATTTCGAGATTGATCAACAATTGTTCTGAAGCTCGCGCGGTATTTCAGTAAATAGACCGTATATATAAGATAAGTCGGAAGCTTGTAAGTTTAAGTAAAAGCGAGCCTTTTTTAAATTAGGGTACAGCGAATACTTGCAATGCAGATAGAATGGGTTTGACTAGCAGGCAATGGGATTCATACGAAATCTTTTTTGCAAATGATGAGTGCAGCGTGATTGGTAAGATAGAGTTAATAAGAAACAGCAATATAAACGATACATTATCAAATGTGGTCGAAAACATAACAGTGAACTATTTGATAGGATCGATCGGCAAATTAGTTGCAGATGGAGACGAAGAAAAAGCATTGGTAGCTAAATAAGCGATCACGTCTTGTCTAGCTGTTCGCTGACGATATATGGTATGTGCTGTTGGGCATTCTGCTATGAATCGCCGTTGAACACGACACGTCAGCCAGCTTTTCGCGGAAACTGCAGAACCCTTATCAATCTTTGGGCTGATCGACGTAATTTCGGTCAAACAACATCTGTTGACGTAGCCAAGATTGGGTCGATATCGGCACATCGGCATTTAATAAGCTGGATGCCAAGCAAAGTAAACAGATGTGATTGAACAAACTCACGGCAACATGGCCAGTGAGTGACAGAGAAAGAGAGAGTGAGCGAGAAGGGGAGGGGGTGAGATAATAGTTGTAAGGGGCAGAGTGTATACAAACAAGACACTCGCGCTCTCGACGGCGTTATCTGGGTGGAAAGAGAAGAATCGGTGCTGCTCGATTCGACTCGTCAGCTAACAAGAAACGATGGGAATAACGTTGTCGAGATTGAGAAAAGCAGAACTGTAGCTTGCTAGCCATTGACACGAGTAAATGTCGTCATCGGTGTGGTCCAAGGCGTCCAGCGTAGCATAGGGCAGCTCACTTCTGATTGTTCACTAGTCTGACTAGCCAGGCGCGAGCTAGAGTGACGTGCGCAAGACCTTAGACTTTAATCAGCCGAGGCGTTGATACAAGCAGATAGATATAGATATCGGCATAGCTAGATACAGACTGCTCGAGACTGACAGGGCTTCGAGCTGTGCTTGCCGGCTGCGCACTAATACCTCGACTTGCACTCCGTACTCCACTCCGATCACTCACAAGTTACAGCCCGTGCACACTGCTTCGTTATTAGCCAAGTCGCTCGTCATGGATGGTGAAAAGATCAAACTGTAAGTTACGTCAAGTTTCTATTACACACCTTTCTTCACCTCATTCGGCTCGCTTCACCCTTGCCAGTGTGCCCCACCCACACCCACAGCCGAAGTTCGTCCTTCGATAACTCATTAACCGACCTTTGATCCGACTCTCATTATCACTTACCCGCAGCCACTAATTAGCGTTTCTTCACTCTCGCTATTCCCCTGTTTTCCCTGGAGGCACTACAACATGCGGATCACCCGTCTTTCGTTCAATATCTTCAACAACTAGGCTTTTCCTTTCTTTCTATCAGTCATTCTAATCTCAATGTCAATTACATTTTTGCGCTCAACTTTTATAAATCATTATCAATATTTTTTATATACTTTCGCAACCAATCAAAGCTTCCTACCAGCTGATTTACACTTGAGCCGATTGCAATCGCAAACCAAATTTAGAACACTAATAATCAAATCAGCCTTATTCCGGAATTGCAATTACGCCAGTGGATAAAATTTTACTTATTACAATATCTGAAATGACAAACTATCGTACGTTAATACTCTGATCTTATGATATATGAAGTAAAATATAATTATTTCTAAGATGAATATTATAGTAAGTAAATTTTTTATTTTCAACCATAGTTTTATTTACAACATTTTTACCGTACACAATTGATGCATTTTTTTCTCAAACCAGAAGAAAAAATAAGTACGGGTATAATTTTTTAATGTTTTTCTTAAATTTCAAAAACGAGCATACGATTAATTTTATTAGCTAGTGGAAAAGCTTTCTCTACGGAAATCTTTCCTTATAAAACAAAACTAAAATGTTTCAAGATGGAAAATATTGGAACAATCTATATGCGTTGTTTCAAAAATGTCTGACAGCGCGTGTATTGTGTGTGCAGTCATCGCAATAATGATTAGTTTTTTACCAATGAAAAATAAAAAGAAACATATGTTTCAATCAAAACAGTTCTGTTGTTGTATTTAAGTTATGTCCATTTTTTTTTATTTTGTAGTGTTATCTTTTTATGATTATTTTTGATAAGTAATATAAATTTAAAATTAATCTCTCTGTTTACAACATCGAAATATATTAATCTATAGAATATCTTTAATTGCAATTGCTTAATGTATGGTGAATAATATTTCATAAAGATTGCGACTGATTAAATGATTTAGTTACGCAATAAGATTATATTATTTTGCCAATCGTTTGGCAGTGACGAAAAAAATGATTTTCCCCAACCAATCGAGTGAATAAAAGTTCCTTAGACTTATCAGTCAACAGAAGATATATCGAATAGCAAGTGATAGGAGAACCCCATTTTTTATCAAGTAGCTAACTTAAATATACCTATAGCTTCATTCAGCAGAGTGAAGAAAGATAGTATATTTTTGAAGTAATCTCTATCCAATTAACTAGTCATGGTGATTTTCTGTCACTTAGGAGCTTGGATGTATCATTTTTAAGTAAATCATTCGGATAACATTTTTATTCATCGATTCATTCAAGGTATTCTTTATTTTCAACGCGCAAGCGTGTGCATCGATATACTTAAAACAGGTTCTCTTTTACATTCCTAATCATGATCTTTTTTGTTTGGAATAATATCAAAAAAATTAATTTCATTTCAGATGAGCACAATTATTTAGATTTTCGTATATAGCTTACAATATATTATTCAAATGATGTTTTGATAAAATGAAATAATAATAATTCCATGAATAAAATTTGAAAATTAAAAAATTTCCGTTGAAATCGTCATTTTACGCTTATCGCTGAAGTAGTCTGTAACGAAATTGGTCCTTTTTAGTATCTTGTCCATGATGCAACGTAGGAGAATGAGACGGAGAAAAAGAAAAATATTCGATTATATCTTTGAGAACGTTAGTTTAGTAGTACAGCTGCGTTTGATTGTTTCCACCATTCTTTCTGTTGTTTCTCATTTCAATAATCTTGCATTACTTTATAAGTTTATTTTTCGAAATATAAATGTTATCGATTCTCGTTTTAATGAAAACGATAGAAATTTTATAAATGTGAACTGAGAAGTACAATGACACTTTGAACAAACGTCAGTGCTGCAAATGAAAAGTAATCCGAACCTGAAATTTGCGCCTGACGGTGCTTATTTAGCAATAACTAGAAGCAATAATTGAGGTGTATACGTGTGAGATACAACGATTGCGTTGAAACCGAGACCTTGAACCAGTTGACTGAATCGCGCTTATTGTGCATAACGACAAAAAGACGTTTTTTATATAAATTGTATATTGCTTGATATCAAAGTAAACTTTGAAAAATTGCGTAAAACATAATAGTGCAATTTTTTTTGCAATATTCAGTGACAAAGTTTACGAGAAAAGTCCAAAGAATAAGTTGAAATTAAAAAGGATATTTATACACTAGTAGCATGTGGTCATTGTTAAATGTATATTGGAAGGAAGGAGGACATCAGTCCTTTCACTTTGTTTCCGAATGCTCGTCGCTACCAAGTTAGCAGTCAAGAAAACAGAATAAAAAAAACGATGGAAAATGGTAGAATGATGAATAGCTCGCGTAAAATTACCTGCATACAGGAGGATGTTTGAGCAAGGCAACGAGTGCAGAGACGAAATTGCCGAGATATGGCCAATGAAGCGTCGCGCGGCTTGTGTGCGTGTACGCGTATAACATACGTACGTTATCCTCTCGACACTTTCACGGAATTTTAGCGGCCGCGGCCGGTCGAGAACGGCTTTACGTGTGTATACATCGCGCGCGCGCGTGTGTGTGTATAAAGTGTAGGCTGCCGTCGTCACCAGCAGTGGCGGCAGCGGCGAAGGTTCTCCAGTCGCGCGAGATTCACCGACGCGTTGAACCTGGCGCTCGCGACTCGCGCATCTTCATCTCGGCTCGTCAGAACTTGAATCTTCGGATTTTGTTCTTGCTTTTTTTGCAGCGCTCACTTTTTCGCTTCTACATTTCAGCCGTTGTGATTTGTCGCTAAAACTAATTGGTGTGTACGTGTGTGCGTGAGATTGTGCGCCGCTTTGAACAACGTTGTTTGTTCATCTTCAGTTTGACTTACGACATCGTTCTCCTCGACTTTTTTTCATATGGCTCAAATTGATTACAACCTCGACGCGGTATTCTGCTCATGGCGCGCCTTTTTACGGATACGTGGGAAAACGCGCTGCACTTGTTTGTGCGTCAATCTTTGTCAGAGCAGACGTAACATAACAGTACTCGAGGAATTTAGTGACAATTCTTAGCTGATCTCTTGATTGTTGAACCCTCGACAAATATTTCATTACTCGACATACTAGACGTATATACAACACATATACTGCGAATTCAACAGGAAAATACGTCGCTTAACAGAATGCGACAAGCATTTCCCTTTTCCTTTCAAAAAATTAATTATACAGTCCAGAAAGAGAAAGGCAAATATCCACTAGACTCTCAATTTCTAATACTTTACTTCTCTCCAAATATGAATACGAATTTTTTATTTGTGGCAATACCAATTTTTAAGACATTAGTTTAATTTTATGGTTGATCAACTCAAAGTTATTAATCACGCATTTTCCTCTTTCCTCTGCGTCTTTCAAATTATTATGTCTCATCACTACGTGTGCTTTCATTTTCAACAGTTGCGTCATATCTTCAACAACTGAACTTTTAAATTTGATTAGATATATAGTGACCTTCGTGGCTGAAATCTTTACAGACAATAACATTTTTATTTCAATGTAAAATGCGTCCTTGAGAAAATTCTTAAGTCTTTTCGCGCAGTAAATGCAAGAACACTTTGGAAATCAAATCGATCTTAACCAGGGACACAGAAAACAAGAATAAGTACTTAATGTGCCTAGAAATTTAAAAAATATAAGATTCTACACATTTTTATCTGTTTAATGCTTATTTAAGATAAAAATTGCACAATTACATTTGTTCATCTTTTTCAAATCGCAAAACAACATTAAAGACATTTATAGTTTTTCCGTATTGCTCTAGATTTCAAAAGAACTGAACATTGTATTTTGTACATTGGCGACTAACTTTCTATTCATGAAAATACGTAAAATGTAAAATTCAAGGTATTTCTAGAATTTACTTTAACTTTGCGGGTATACGATAAAAATTGACGTCAAATTTGAATCATAACACAAACCTACACACGCGCGCGCGCACACACACACACACACACACACACACACACACACACACACACACACACACACACACAAAGATTCATACACTTTGCATTTAGTTCTTTTTTCTGTTCTCCAATGAAATAATCGTTCAAATCATGATAAGACAGGAAGAACAGTAATATTTCAGGCGTAACGGAAGCTTCTGATATCAGTGGATACTCGTCTAGCTTGCATGCGTTTAAAAACATACATACGTCAAATTACCAGCTAACGCAAGTATGGCTATGCACAATATGACCTATCAAGTACGTGTTGATAGTTCAAACTCGTAACAAAAAAAAATGTAATGGAATTTGGAAATACTTAAATAATCGCATTGAAGTAATACAGAAAAGCAAAACTCTTCAATAACGTAAATGTATTCAAGTACTCCGAAAATTATATTTTCTTGATCTTACGAATCCTCCTACGCCTTGCATATTCACATTTCAAACTAAACACCCGGGTAATGAATTTCAAGGCCAAAGACAAAAGATAGCTGCAGAAATAGTCAAGGTTTTAAAATTTTCATAAAATCTGCCATAGTAGCAGTAGCATCCTCCGATTCCTTCAAATTAGAAAAATGTTCTTTAATACTCACAACTGATAAAGCAGTCCAATTACCTTTGTTCGAAAAATGACTGCACATTATAATTTTCAAAATGATTAATGAATATCCATTGAGGTATACGAATTTTTTCATCATATATTTTTCAAGTATTCAAGAAAAATTAGGAAAAACTGGGATACATTTTTATGAATATGAAAGAAAGAAAATTTTCGTCATTTCTAAAGTAAACTACTGCATGTAATTTACAAAAAATTCGAAGATTGAGGTTTTTATAAAACGTTATTTGAAACTCGATTTACAGAATAAAATTATACTGTAAGCAATGCATTTTTACTAAACTAGTAAACCGAATGAAATTTTGAATTATGTATTAATCTCTTTTTATGTAGATTATCAGTTTTTAATGTTTTTACTCCGATTACTTTTGATGAATAGTTTATTATAATTGCTAAAATTATTTACCAACACTTTTTAATTTAAGAAAGAGTTTCTAATTTGTAAACAATTAACTTTTTTTCAAATATTAATCATTTGTAAGTTTTGAAATATGTTTTATTAAATCATTCTTAAAGATAAAGTAGAAGTTTGTTCGTCATTATGCTCTGCATTTTTAATTATATCAATCATATGAAATTTTTGGTCAAAATTTTTTATGTAACGTTGTAAAAAGTCACGTCAACAGTATATTACAATACACAGAATTAAAGTAATTCAGTTCCAAATATCGTACGACATTTTACAGCTAAACTGATTCAAGTCACGGCGTGCTATAAAATTATTTGCTTACGTTCATATATCCGTTCACATATCCTCAAGCCAGCTGAAGGTTCATTTTATAGTTTATGGACACAACGCAGTGACACTTTTCATTATTGATATATAACTTGATCGCCGCGTATGTCTCCGTCGTATACAATGGCGTGAACTCAATCAATTACATTAAAATTTAGATATAGTCCGACTGAAATCTTTAAAACTGAAAATAAAATCAATATGTTTTTCTTCTATTGAATTACATTTCTATGATAATAATTTATGAATACTTTCGATGCAGATATTACTTTAACTGAAAAAAATGAATCAACTTGATGTCATGTTTGTTCGCAAGATTTAATTACTTAGTCAATCGAGCTGTATGAATTTTCATTTCACATTTCGATGCTAGTGCGAGAAAGTGATTTGAACCTTGTGTGACCTCTTGAGTCTCGTTTTGCTCGGGCGCGAACATCTACGCGAGGCTCAAATCAGTTTCTCGCAATAGCAACGAAATGTATTATAAAGGGATGAAGATCACGATAGTAAAGCTTCGCGAGCTGTTAAAGCGAGCATGTGATTGGTGCATGATTAAAAAATAAGTGAGCAAATAAGTAGAGTGAGGGGCTTTATGTAGAAGGCGAAACGCTAATAGCCGCATAGGTTGTGTAAGGGAAGAAAAAAATGAGCTATAAGGACGAAATTGAACATTATTAATTGGCCATGAGAGTCGAAAAGGCGCGGTCGCGTCCTCGTGCGAGCGAGCAAAACCGACCCGGTAGTGCGTAGTCGCTTCGATCGCAACGCGATGAGGATCTGAAAAAAGAAGGACAAAAGCGAGCGAGCGACCGCAAACAAAAAAGGCAAAACAACATTGTCGTCTTCCACTGTGTAGCTTGCGCTTGACCTTGCACCGTGGTGAACTGCCTCCTCGCCGCTCGGAAGCTGCTGCTGCTGCTGCTGTTCCTGCTTCGTGTGAGTTAGCTGAGCCGTCGGTGGGGCCGCTGATGCGATGGGCTTGCGTGCGCGTAGGAGCTCGGAGCTGCCCGTGGTGGCACTGGCTCAGCCGAGGCATCGAGCCACGCTGATAGCCCGCGCCAGATTTAGTAGCCGCGGTTTGCTGGTCGCGCACCGACGTCGACGCTATTACGAGCAGCTCATCGACCGAAGCGCCAACAGCAGCGACATGCAAGCCAGCGAGGGCCAGTCGACAGATCCAGCCAGCCAGCTTGACAGGTCAGCTCCGACAAAACAAGGAGCGAATCACAGATTCGCTTTCTTGCACGCTGCCCAACACTTTGTCCCTAACATTCGTCCATACTCTTTCAATTCCACCTCGCACCCTCAAGCCGTTCCTTCCAATCCAATTCAAAATTAACTACGAATCACCTCTATAGCTTGATGCCAACAGCCGATCGACGTTAATTAAATCTCGGTGCACGTGTGCTCGTGCTCTTAGAAGAATTTAAATCAATTGTCAACAAGTCACCGTAGTTGCACTCGAATTGCACTCTTCAAACAGAACAATAGGCTCGTTTGAAAATCTAATTAGTTATTCTCACAACATCATACCAATTATGTAATTTTCAATTGAACTACGCTGATATACGGACGAGAGTTGAACGGGATTAATACTTTGCAGTGTGCCATCTTTCTTCACGAATACTTGCAATATCAGAAGTTAGTTTTCTCAAAATAACTCTCCTAATTGAAATAATCATTCATCTTCGCAACCGCGTGTTCCGCTTTATTAAATCCAGACCGTACAGCACTTAACCAACCAATACACACATTTACATCAATGCTAAATTGTCAAAAGGAATTTTATTTTTTAAAGCATTTCATTAGCAACAAGTTTATATTTGGTACATAAAGAATGAGTTTGCCTAGCGTGACAGATGAATGATAACAAGGAAAAACGATATCTCAACAAGAACAAATATAGCCACAATCATTTTTTACCAAATAAATGACACGATTTCTGGTAATCAAATGCTATAATTTGGCTAGAAACATGCGGAATAAATCTACTGGTCCTCGTTTCATGAAAATATGACTATACAAAAGTGCCTAGCATTTTATAGATAATCACAATGTTTAAAATAGAACACTTGCAACTATGTAAAACTATTTATTTGTCAAAGCTAACCGATGAATGCTTAAAGATAGTTGAAAGATTTATAGTGAGCATAAAAACCTTGGAATACATGGATTAATTGTCATTAGCATTACATTGTGAACGCATTTTTTTATTAGATACATTAGAAGGAAATCGGAACTCGCGAAACAGATTAAATTGATTGGAAGCTTCATGGTCACAGTAAATAATTACGAATCAGTATCGTCTAAACTCACAAGTCTTGATTGTTTTAATAAAAAAAGGTCGTGTATTCGACAGATTTATCAGATTTTGCACACGATGTTGTTAACAAACGATAGAACACCGATGACAAGCAATAATTATAAGTTGGAACTCAGTATATTTCACTTTGCACACGGCATGATCGTAATACTAATAAAGGTGTGCGTTGTTTCAAATCCTCTCACCTTCTCAACGATAAGACTACATTTTCGATTTACGCAGTCTTATCAAAATCATGCGAGACATGCAATGTAACATGAGCTTTAGCACGTGAGAATATTTCACTACATACTTTAAGTATTAATTGAAAATCAAATAAATAAATAAAGATACGCTAAATCCTTCGTTATTTCTACTCGTTAACTGCTGCATAGATAGTTTATTAAAAAATAAGTATCAATTACAATTTCATGCAGTGTTGATTCAGAAAGTAACAAGCGAAAAATCAAATTAGTTAATGTTTATTCATGAAACAAAACTATCATTTTTATTTAGTGATAACATCAACTTAAAAGACTGAGAATTAATAGAAAAAAACGATCTAAAGCCTGTAATGATCTAATATAAGCGTTATTACTTGACCGGTACTCCACAAATTTTTTCTAAATATTCCTCATTAAACGTAGTTAATTTCACAGCAGATGAAATCACTACGTATAGTTGATCTGAGATAATCTTGCCGGAGTATTAACTTCATATGATTAAATAAACAAGCGGTGATTGATTCAGAATAGACTAAACTACTACAAAACAGTTATGAAAAGATTAACAGTCATCTTGACTTGTTGCCAATAGGATTAAGTGTCGATCGTCCGATTACCCGTGTAGCCAAGAGGATTCCTTTCGGGAAAATTGTATGAAAAAGTAAATATCCTTCCTAAAATCAGGCTTGGGAAAATAAAACTTGGGACCGATAGTAAATAGTGAGAATGGCCGTAATCAACAAAAGCAGTTAGGCAATCAAATTCCATTGCGAAAGATCATAAAAAAGAGTACGTAGTGCTCAGTAACTATAAAATCCGACAATTAAAATACACAATATAGTTATTCAAACAAATTATTTTATGGTTTTTTTACATGTGTTTAGAAAAAACTGTTGCTCTGAATTGTTTAATTTTTCAACTTGGTCGATTTATATTGAAATATATCTGAAAATCAACTAAATATTAGAAGTAATTTTAGTAATTTACTTCTACTTTTATTTATACCTAACAAAATCAGTGACAAGGCAATTTACTTTCAATGATACTCCATCCCATGATAATGAATTTGTTATCGAATAGATTGATAACTTAAACCACAAGCTATGAAATTTACAACAATTGGTTTTTACATTTATCATTTTCTGAACATATTTTCTCAATAAGTAAAATTATACAATTTTTTGAGTTATTGAAATATCACACTTGAATTTAAAAAACTATTACAATTTTTAAGTATATACTTATAAATCTTAAATTTTTATGACAACTGAAATTAAAATAAATGTGAAGTTTTTTTTTTTCAATTTTGTAATAATAGCTAATCTTTTTCAGTTTTCAAGATAAGGCTGCATTTGGCTATGGAACTAGTCTTCCCCCCAATAACAATGACATGACTGATAAGGAGTCTGCTTCCAAGAAAGTAATATTTTGCGTACATGGAAAGCTTTCTGGTTGTTGCACACTTGTCAAAGGAGGAAAAGAAGAATGTGCTCCTATAGATTATTTAAGAAATCCTAGCTTTTGTAAGTTTAATTTGATATTTGGAAAAATACCTTAACATAATTTCTAGATTAGAAACTTGTACTATCAATAGATCGACTTTTAATCAAATAATAGAATTTGTTATATTAGAAGAATGAACTCCTTTTAAATTAACAAAATGAAACTTACCGTCTTACAGCAGACAGTTAACTAGTTGGATTATCTGTAGAATCTTCATAATGATGTTTCAAATATAAATTTAAATCTACAGAATCAGTTCTTCGTAATAAACTATTACATTGGGAACTTTCAACTTGGCAATGCTTTTCCTGTAACATTCCATATTATCAATGCCAAAGAATCGTACACCTGAATACAATATTTATTATGTGCTTACTTTTCTATCTACTAATACTATAAATTTTTTCCGGTGAGCACTGATGTAATCATTTAATTCGCTTACAGATTTGAAACCTGTTTTTTGTGAAATATGATATCCAATATCATAAGGTATTTTAGATCCTTTTTTGATATGTTCAAGAAGTCTTTCTGATCTCAAGAGTGTAGCAATATTCTAAAACAATATTTAATACATTTTTTCAGATTCCATTGTATGGCTTTGATTAGACAATATTTATTATCGAAGTGTACAGTGAAACATTTTATAGAGCAACAATAATAAATAAATTTATTTCAATTTTCAAATAAAAAATAGATTATCCCTTAGATTGATTTGGAAAAGTCTAGTCTAATTATGGATTTTAATCCCATTTGTTTTTTTCATTATAAATTTATATAATTTGTAAAATAAAATATATCCGCTTACCTTATCAGATGCTTTCTCCATAAGAATAGTTTTTTTACCATGCTTTCTTTTCTTAAATGGGAAAATAAAATGCTGTTGTGAATGATTTTATAGTGATTAGAGAAACAGTTTATATGAATACATTGTAGTTATATTAAAGAAGTAAAACCTACTTTATCATTGAACATTTTAAAAAAAGTAGAAGTCTTCTTGTTTTTCTTGGATTTCTTAAGAGTTTTCTGAAAATAAAAATATAATTTACAAGTCGTGCTGTTTGTAAATCTATTAGTATTATTTTTCTTGTATTTATATATACTAATATATAAAAATAACCTAAAATTTCCAATAGTCTTTCACAATTTACTCAAACACAGAAAAAAGTTAAAGATACATTTACTCCTTTACCTTTATGGTCAAAATCGTAGTCGGCACAAGAAAATTTTCATTTGTTTTCTCAGATGCATCACTCACAGAAGCCTCTTTCGAATCGATTGAATTCGACGTTAACTGTTCTGGAGATTCTTTTTTTGCCATCTTTGGACAACCAAAGATTTCCTAAAGGCTGAAAAAGAATTAAATATGCAACGTAAAGCAAATAAACGGAAAATTGATTTGTTTTTATTGTGATTTGCACGTGTTCATCGCGTCACGATAACCGTTCACAGTACTGTATATAATATGAGTTGTGGGAAAACGGAGTCAAATGCTATAGTGCATGCTCTCTCGCAGCAGCTGCAGCTGTGCCATGAAGACTGTATACTGCTGTATAGTCTCCATGAGGCTGTGCTGCGCTCTCACAGAAACCGGACAAGTCTATACACTTGCGTTTCTTAAAAATTTTACACGAATGTTAAAATGTTTAGAATCTGCTGTTGTTCGCTTGGTCCTATTAATTATTATTGTTAGTAAATTTCATAACAAAATACTATGTTATTTAGAAAGCAGATGAAATAAAATTTATCTCATCTATTGGAAAGTTCTGAAGTAAAAAATGTAATAAACTTTTGAAAAATTACGACGAATGATGTAAAATTATAGCAAAATATGTAAATAAAGTTAGATACCTCGCTTCGCTCGGGCACATATATCCATACAAGGCTGAAATTACTTTTTTGTCCACAGCAGCTCGACCAGTAACATGCTAATTTCAGCCTCACTAGGCAAAAAATACAATTTTACTGTGACATTTACAAAATGACTTATAATATGAAAATTGATATAACTCCGAGCTAAAAAAATGATATAAATTATGATTACAGACGAAGATCACTGCCACCGAGAGAGAAATGAAGAAATTGACAAGAAGGCACGAAAAAAGCTTATAATTGCTAGTGTATTATGTGTTATATTCATGATAATGGAGATAGTTGGCAAGTGTAATAAAATTACGTTAATAATTGAACTTACGTGACATAGTAAAATTACAAAATATTACAGGAGGTGTGTGGTCCAATAGTTTAGCGATTGCTACGGATGCAGCTCATCTACTGACCGATTTCGCTTCATTTATGATATCGCTGTTTTCAATATGGGTAGCTTGTAGACCTGCAACCAAAAAAATGCCGTTTGGTTGGTATCGAGCAGAGGTGAGCAATATTTAGTCCAATATTTACACAGTTTATTAATATAGATCGCTTCGCATCTCATTTAAATATATTTCAAAGATAAAAGTAAAGGAAAGCGTTTATATTATTTGTTCTAATAGGTAATAGGAGCACTGACATCTGTTTTATTGATATGGGTTGTCACAGGAGTCCTGTTTTTCCTCGCTGTTGAACGAGTTATCAATAAAGATTTTGAGCTCGATGCCCCGGTTATGCTGATTACATCTGCGATTGGAGTGGCCGTCAATCTAGTGTTCGTATTACTGAGTAATGCGTAATTTTAGCGCTGTTTCAGTTGTACATTGCACAAGATTTTTATGATCTCCCTTTTCCAATTGACACACAGAATGGGCTTAACACTCCATCAACACGGACATGGCCATAGTCACGGTCACAGTCATGGACACGACAGTCATAGTCACGACCATGGTCATGATCACGGTCCCGATAAACCTGATAAAAGTGGAATTGACAAATGCAATGAGGAAGGTGCGGCAAAGGCTGATTTTAAGCACAAGCACGATAAAAATATTAATGTTAGAGCAGCTTTTATCCATGTGCTCGGTGACTTCATACAAAGCGCAGGAGTCTTCATTGCTGCGATCGTTATCTATTTCAAGGTGCGGCTGTTTCGTTTTTATTTCAAACATAATATGCTATTATTATTATTTCTATTTAACTTTCAAATCCCTACAAATCAATATACTAGTGATCGATATTGTGCATTTGCATATGCGCATTTGCATTTGCACTCGGAAAAACTCGAATTCCAGATTTATTTGAAATAGAGGCATTTGTAGGTGTAACGTTCAGCATTAATGTCCGTCCGTTTCTGAGCATAAATGATTGGTGTATAGTCGATCTCGGTGGACAATGCTAGCTGACTTAATTGCTATACTTATGTTGGCACGATTAATTCCAATCACGCCATTTCTTGGCTCTGTTTTTTTATATTTTTTCAACTTTTACGTAACCGCATAAATACCTAATAAAATATATTATTCTTTCCACTGCATACTATTTTGACGTCGTTCTATTGCGAATAATTTGCTTATATCTGAGAATAAAGATATGAGAATTGTCGTTTTTCGAATTGTTATGCGTATACATACGCGTGTTGTGTTCTTACCTACTTCACTTCCTACACAAAAATAGTCCTTTCGGAGCTAGTATTTAATTTCGAGCAAATTGTAGCGTTATCAATCAGAAATTCTTTCGTTCTTTTGAATGAATATAAGAATCAACTTGCTTGATCGCGAGAAATTATCTTATACTAAAAAAGCATACTAAATTGTTTATTACAGCCTGAATGGAGTATCGTTGACCCGATTTGCACATTCTTATTTTCAATTCTGGTCGTACTTACAACAGTAACCATCATCAAGGACGTCGTAAATGTTCTGATGGAAGGTACCCCAAAAGGATTTGACTATTCGCACGTGGAAAATACATTTATGCAAATAGACGGAGTGGTGAAAGTGCATAACCTAAGAATATGGGCCTTATCACTTGACAAAACTGCACTATCAGCTCATCTAGCTATCAGTAAATTAATTTCTTGCGATTATCATAGCAATTCATTCAAGAATTAGCGTCCCTCGAGTGCAATAAAAATGTATTGTCTGTTTCAGAATCTGGTGCCAGTCCACAAACAATACTCCGCACGGCTACTAGAAATATACACGACAAGTACAACTTCTTCGAAATGACTCTTCAGATCGAAGAGTTCAACGAAAAGATGGATAACTGTGAGCAATGCAAGCCACCGTCACAATGATTTTTCATTTACCCTACCAATTTATTGTATGGTGAATGTGCATGTATGCTGTGAGCAATGTTTGCGCTCACACAAATTCATTTGTGGAACAGTGGCGCAGACCTCGAGTTTTTGAGTTAGTGAGATACACACGCGTCAACCGAATGATTAAATATTACAGGGTATACGATATATTGCAAATGTTTGGCGCAATATACCGCCTTTTAAAGGCAATAACATGCAATGTGCATCGCGTATCATAAGTATTTTAGTTTTAATGGATTATCGTATAGTTATAAAGAGGGAGACTGTGACGATTATTTTTACAAGTGTTTCAAGAGATTTAGTGCAAATGTTAAGCAATAACAAAAAAATCATGTTTCTGCTATTAGTGACTGCCAAAGTTGTAAAACAGTGTGAGAGTAATTTTTTGACGTATTTTCGGATATGCACTTGATGCCCTTATCCAGAATCCACCACGTAAGCAATCAATAAATTGTTTAGCTACATTTCAAAATACAGTGTTGTTGTCTTCCAAATTCTAGTTTTTACATGTAAATTTGGAATAGACATTTATGCCATACAAGCGGACAACGATAGTAGCTCGGACAAACATTTCCTTCTTTTGCACACTGTTTCAGATAATATATAATCTGCCTTACAAAACGCAATACTGTCAAGATATCAAAAGCGCCAAATTCCAATGGCTGATATTCTTTTGGTTATAAAAAAATAATGACGAAACGGAGTTGTTAATTTATCTAATAAACATATTTTTGTAAGACGTACGATCAAAGCTGCAAAACATAATAATATGTGAGGAAGTAACAGAACTCTAGCACACACATGCCTTTGCCGACCATTAAGTCTCTCTCACTTTTTCTCAATAAATATATATATATATTATAATGACTTGGTCATCGTAAATATGAATTGATCATATTTATGATGACCAGTATTTTATATAAGTAATTAAAACTTATACGTGTATATACATCTATTTTCGAGAAATTTTGAATGCAGTTAACATTCCAATTCGACATTAAATTGCATTTATATTGTGAAAAAGTAATAATATGCCACCCAACCAATGAAAATGATATTCATTGATTATGATATATCGTCATATTATTTTTAAAAAAGTCATGCGTTGTATTACATTAGAATATTCTTATTTTATTATTATCGTGCGTCATATACACGTGTATATGCTTTTTAGTTTACAATAATGAATGAAATAACGATAAAGTAATATTCCTTGAGCAAAGAAGAATTTTATAGTCATTATGATTATGGGTTTACAAGAAATGAAGCGTTATCAAGTGCAAATTGAGTGTATAGTCTATACTGTAAGGAAAAAGAGAACCCATTTGGATGATTATCAAAGTGCTGCTTATATCATTTGTTTGAAATTATTTTATAATGTCATAGGAACTATGACAGTGAAGTATGTCATCCGTTGTTTGTTATATCACATGCTTGCATCATATATACAAATGTTTATTTATATGAAGTTTAAGATAAAATTGATTTTAATGAAATATTATCGAGCTCCTTTTTCCAGCCCATTAACCATTTCGTCCAGTAAATCTTAAAATTTAGAAGAAAATATGTCAGTGTTCTCTAAAATAAAAAAAAAGGAACTATCAGTGCAAAATATTATCTATTTCTAAATCGATTTATTTTTAAAAATTAGACTCATACTTTTGAGTAAAAAGACAAAGTCATACGAGGATAATTATGTATAAGCTTGGTAGAATGGTTAAAGGCTATTTTGATTACGTGTTTTTATTTATAGAAGTAACAAAATTAATCGTCTGTATCTATTGAAGACAAGTTTTTAAAATAATGATAACACAAGTGATTGTTCCAAGCTATTAAGATGCCCCTGAAACAAAGACTCGAGGCAAACAATGCGTGATATTGTTTTGGGCACTCCATCAAGAAAAATTACATTTCTTAATTTACACATTTAACTAAAAATATTTACTTCGAAATGAACTGTTCAAGCAATTTTATTAAAAAGTGCTTTACGTCACAAGTATGGAAATCATGTAGATTCTCGTTTCGATACATTTACGCCTGAATTAACGAAGTGAGTGTCGAAATACATCCATAAAACTTATTCGGTGAGACGGTGCCAAACTATTTATTCAACTGATTAGTTTGTAAAAAACTTGGGAAAACGTTTCCCAAACTTATTGTGAATTTAATTTTAAAATTTGATTTCTAACAAAAAAGTATGGCAAAACTTCAACCAAAGACAATCGTAAAGCTTTTTTTTTCAATTATAGATTGTAACTTTAGCTAAAATTTGGTCAAACTTTGGCCAAAGGCAATAGCAATATTTTTTTAATGTTTGATAAAATGTTTGGGCAAAGTTTGGCCAAATTTATATCAAACGAAATCTCTAAGATTAATTGTCTTTTTATTCAAATGTATGGGCAAACGTTCGTAAAACTTAGTCCGAAGTTCTGACGACAAGTAAAGTTCATATTTAACAAAACATTAACCATACTTTCTAATAAAAAGTAATGGTTAAATCAACAATTTAAGGTAAAGTCAAGTAATATGCCAGGCGTCACCTGATATATATAAAGAAATAATTGTTTTACACTAATATGAAAGTTCCTGCGTAATGCAAGAATAATTTCAACAGCACAATTTTCAATTATACATCTTAATTGTATGAATATCGTTTTCTTTAGTTCTATATCAATTTTTTGTAGTGGTTATCAAAAACATCCATTTATAAAGATGGTTAACAATGTAAACAATTTTATTGGACGATATTTGTTACAATTATAATTGTTGTTATGCGTTAATTATTATACAAATTATGAATATACATTGAAACCTCGTTATTCAAATATAAATATTATTTATAAGAATCACATTATTAATTCATCAACTACAAAGAGTTCAAATAATTTTACCATTTACAAAGCTTATGCTTTTTCAATGTTATTTGCACGTTCTGCAACATAAATTTTATGATCAAATTTAATATAGAATAAAATTTTTTGAATAGCGTCTAAATTTGTTACTAAATATGATTCAGTTCTTGGACATTCTAAAAGAGTCGGAACAAAATTCATTACCAAGGAACAGCGAAATGCTTCCCTTATATTATATTGTAAAATTACGATATAAGTGATACAATCTTCCGAGCAGCCTGAAAACGATTGTCATCTATCGCATCTACAAATGTGTATGAAACGGTCGATGATTCCTGCATTACCTTCATCATCATAAACATATAATATGCAAGATGAGTTCCTAGCTTTTCTGGGGGCGTATGATTCGGACTCATAATAATTACTATTAATAAGAACTCATTGGTATTCACGGATATTGCTATCTTGTAAATCAACATTCCTGTTTGCGAAAGTTTCCCATACATGCTGTGGCAAAATATTAACAATTTTACTGATACCGACAAAAAAAGCATTGCCATTTAAATGACTAATCTTGCACCTATGAGTGCTTGAACGCTCGGTTCTCTTGCAAAAATTACATACCGCAGAATCTGGTGTTATCAATCAATTTTTAACCTCCGTAAGCGTTAAAAAAGTTATGCCGCGCAAGCTTACATTTCTGGTTTCTTGGAGATATGAATCTAATGTTTTAAAATATCATGAAAGTTTTCCAAACAAGCTGTTGACACGACGTAAAGCGGTTAAAATTTTCGCACTCGACTAGGAAGATGCTCGAAAAGGTATACGCTATTGCTCATGTATTGCGCGCGCATCATACAAAAATGGAAATCGAAATACCCATTCGTTTGCAACTTCTTGTGCTTCGTTGACCATATCATCGCAAATGCACGATGAATTTATCAGAGTCAAAGCATGGACAAGCAAAACATGGTGTTCGAAGTAATCTTCATCTATATATCTTCGAAGATAGGCAAGCTATCCACTAATAAAAATCTTTTCAATTCGTGTGCTTTCCAAAACTGATAATTCATGACACTTCGAGGCAGCCGCTACACAAATGATGGCGGAGTTAACTGTTTAATTTTGCTATCAATAATATTAACAAACGGCATAAGACGCAGAGTGCGTGCTAAAAACCGGGTCAAAATGAAATTTCATCATTTTTCTTTCTATTCCTAGAAAGTCACAGTGAAATTCATCAATGGTTGTAGATTCAATGTAATTAGCTACTATTAAACGCAACGCTGTAGGTCCTTTCACGCCATGTACAGGGGCGTTTTCTTCAAAGGCTTGTCTTGCGTACTCTTCCGTTTGTTCTGTCGTTCTCTCTAAGTCTTCTAAATTACGAACAAATGAAGATGATTGCACATTTTGAATTCTCACAGATTGTATTTCACAATTTTTTTCATTATCAAAGCTCTCATAATTGTTCTCTGAACTGCTGTCTCTACGTCGTTTAATATAAGGTACTGCGATGCTTGGGAGTAGCTTTCGAAAGTTCACATTGGATCCATCGTAAAGTCAAAGGTAATTCAAACGTCCATCTTAATAAACAATTTATCATATGAATTTTAAGAATTGCCGAAAATAATTTTTTTTCATGAAAGTTCTTAAATAGAACGAATGTATTGAGAGGTGTAGAGGAGAATCATCTATTACATATAAGTATAACTAAGCGGTGCATGTTATAAAATGCATAAAATGAAAATACTCACAGTAGCTTTATAGGAAAAATCGTTTGCACTATTGTCAACGTTTTATGAACTGCGCGTGCTCTCTTTCTCTCTCAGTCACTAGATGTGCCGGCGTTATGATGTCGGCTAGTAGCTTTCGAACGTCCCTAAATTATGTATTGTTTGAAAAAATTGAATCGTAATTATGTTTAAATAATTACTAGAAAATATAATTTTCTATGGTCTAAATAAACTCACCTTTTTTATATAACATGTAAATATTACAGAAGGTGCATCAACGTGATATAATTACGAGGTTATTTAGTTTAGTAAAAAAAATAGCTCATTGAACGATCGAGCAAACATTCGATTGTTGATAATTTTATTTTGAACTTCGAATGTTCGCCTGTCAGTATAACCGCAAATCCGGTCTGCGCACTGGTAATCTGCTAATTGGCTATGGCTTGAAACTAGAGAATTTTCCGACAACGCATTTGAAAAAAATGTTACTTATATAAGTGCTCAATGGTATGGCTCTTATTATGCCGTGAAAGTCATTCGTATTTCAAGTAAGTAAAATATCTAAAAAGTAACCATGTTATCCCGAATAAAATCATCTCTTAGAAATTCCAATTGTTGGAAAGTTATTACAGTATTTAAATTAATTTTTAATAAATAGACGATACCAATCGATTAAATTCTTTACAAATTGCTGAAGACGGAATTATTATACCAAATGAAAGAATAGAAGACCACAGCAAAGTATTGGCTAGAAAACAAATACACATGGATAAAAAAAGCTAGAGCTCTTGAAAGGAGTGCAGCGCTTAAGCAGGTTTCGGGTTTGGTAATAATAGACAAACTTTCTGGTTCGTTGAAGAGATGGTGGTGACGACGAAGAAGACGATCTCAGCAGCAACGAATCTTTGTAAATAACTATTTATCGCTTATTCCTTGAGAGAGTGTATCTGTGTACTTTGCTCGCAATCTATCCTCGCAAAAGCATATAGATTTTACTCTCATCAATGTCAATACCTGAATCGCGTATAATCACGTGATTATATATATTATAAATATGTACATATCTATTTTATACAATCTACTATGCAAATATTAGAGAAATTGTGTGTTGATTTTCTTGCTATACTAATACTGTAGGCATTCTGCAAGCGTACGTATAGGTAGAGGAAGACGTTCTTCTACACCAGCATATCTTGAAGAATCTGAAGCTGGTGAACAGTCAGATGATACTAAAAAGAAAAGTTCTATTAACGGCAGTAAAAAATCGCCAGAACGTGATGCATATGCTCCAAATTACCACATCGTAATTTACTGCAAAATTGATTAGTAAAGTTCCAGATATCAGAATATCAATCATTTCAGTGATCATAGACGACATTAAATAATTCCAGATGATACTGGATTAGCCAAAACCATGAGCCCTAATATTGTAAAAGACGTGAGTATATATTTATATTTACATTTATTCAAATACACGTGAGTATTGTGATGATAGACGTCCGGTTTGCGCTACCGTCTCGATCGCGTGGCTACCTGCGAGGGCAGCATCTACAGGCCCGGGTAAGTCGAAAACGGGAACTCGGTCCAAAATGGGAAGGAACGCGCGCGAAGAGAGAAGGACCAGTGGGAGAGCGCCTTTGACACCGGCAACAGCGTGCAAGAGTTCAGGAGCACTAACGCTAGAGTTGTGCGGTTACCCGAAAGTCGCGAATAGCGTTTCCGAACCTAGAAGTGCCTCTATCACCGGCAACGACGTGCGTACGTGTGAACGCCACAAGAAGCGTGAACGTTAACCGGCCAATAGTTCTTTGTTGCTTCTGCGAATTCGAGTGGCTAGCCGAGACGCCATCGGAGGCGAGCCACGAGGTTACCGAATCCGTCCGACGGAAGCAGCACGACGACAGAGAGAGCCTCGTCTTTAATTCGGAAAAGTGGCAACCTGAGTCACACGCTAAAAGACGACGTAGAACTGCTCCCATTGACAGCGTGACTAATCGCATAAGGTAAGCTGCCCAGCTTCGCGTTATTGCTTTCAATAAGTGACCGCGCGTAACATCTTAGCTCTCCCCTCACACCGGCGAATACAAGAAAATCGGTAGCGAGCGAGCATGTAAGCAAAGAACTCGATCGACTGATTGTAAATGAATTGGCTATACGTAAGATTGTCGCGCACACCGTATAAGCATAAATGCGCGGGCCAAGTGCGTTGTAGATTATATGATAAATAAATTAGTCCATGTATGATTGAAACGTTAATCTATTGTTGTCTTTGCTATTAGTAAGTTGGTTGACTGACACCTGTGCTCTCCTGCTCCCCGGTTAGCTAGCAAAACTTAATTATTTCGATCTCGCCACGCGCATTCCGGTACGACGGCGCATCGGGCGAGACAAAGAAATTAAAACGGAATTCACACCCCGTTACAGTATATATTTATCGTTTCAATGATATAATTGTAATATTTATTTCACAGTCAATTATTGTCAGTACTGGATTCACAAAAAAGAAAATGGTGAGTAGCAATTTTAAATAATAGTTAATAATTAATTTAATTGACATGTTTCTATTTTCTAGGTGCTATTAGTGGATGGTTCGAAATCGACATTACCTGCGTGGAAATTGGACCTCTACCGAAATTCTTACAAAAAAGATCTAAAAGAAATGGTTCGTCACCTGCTACATGATATAGTTGGAAAAGATGTACTTAAACAATTATCTGCAACAGGACGAAATAATCGTTCTGCTATTGATGAAGAAGTGTTTAATGACGTTGAAGGTAGATTATTTTCACTAATAAAATGTTTTGAGTTTTAATAAAAATATTTGTCAGCTTTCGTTTGTATGAATACGAGAGGTCAATGCAAGTTTTCACATGACGAATATCGAAAATATGCGTAACAAACTTGTCACTTGCCACTCTGCAGAATCCCAGGTCAAAATATGACAAAACTGAACCAATCTCGAAAAATAATGTACACGTTGATTACGCATCAAATAAGAAGGTAAATACTGTTATGTTAACATTGTAAATTATAGTTGTCATCTTTTGATTAATTATAGTTAATTTTTAGATTGTAAAACGTGCGAGATTTGCGAGATTGAAACAAAAAAACATAGGCAATAGGCAAAGCAATCAGTCCGATGGTGATATTCAATTCAACAACAATTAAAACGGAGAGGATAACGAGATTCAAACGAATATGAACGCGTAAAAGACAAAGAAAAAGGTAATGTCTTTATTCATAGTAGAATTCTAAAAAAGCTCGAAAAGCTCAAACAAGTGTCCGACCATGCCGGGACGAGGTTTTGCAAAAGCTTTATTAATACAGAAAGCCGGCAAAAAATAAAATTAAATAATTTTCTGTAGACGGAAAAGGAAATGACGATGAATCAGACGTTATTGAACAAACGGAAAATGAGCAGTAGCAGAGAGACGAAGATGACATCATGTATGAGAATTATTTCAATGGCATGGAAAACTACAGATAATTCAGCGAGTCCCGTTCTGGTGAGAAAAATGGTCGCAATAAAAATATGTATGTTGCCAATATAGAAACTGAAAAAATGAATCGTGAATTTGAGAAACTACAAGAAATAGATGAAGAGAGACAGCGCAAAGTTGAAAAATCAGCTGAAGAGAGGGAAAGAAAGCGCAATGAAGAGAAAAAACGCAATAAGGAGAAAGAAAAAAAAGATAAGGAACATAAACTAACCGAAATGAGATCTATCGAAAGAGGAAATCTACGTGATGAGAGAAAATGTAAAGACGAAGGAAGGAGACGAATTAAGAGAAGAGCGCTCGAAGAGACTAAGAAAAATCATAGAAATGTGGAACAAAGGTAAGCAGAAATAAAAGCAATGAAAAAAGAAAAACAGCAAAGAGAGGAAAGAAATCGCGAAGCCAATAATGAATTAAGAAGAAGAGTTCAACAGAATAAGATTGAGAAAGAAAACCTGCGTAAAAAGGAGATGAAGCGAAAAGACGAGCCATGGATACGAGTTAAAGAGAGAAAGATTGAAGAAGAAAAGCTACGTAATAAGGAGCGAAAGCGTTAGGATATCTTATAAGATGAGAAACGAAAGCAAACTGAGAAGAAAAAGACCGAAGAAGAAAAGTTGTGTCATAAGGAAAAGAACAAATCGACTTGTAACGAAACTCGAAAGACGTCACGATGATGACGAGAACAAAAGCCACTGAAGTCGTGAAAGCAACGAGAAGCGACACGAAAACACATATGACTACTTCAAGCGTGATCAGAAAAGACAGCGGAAAAAGCGTGAGTGGCCAACAGATTAGGAAGTTAAGAGTGGCAGAAAAAGAAGAAAGTAGAGTAAATAACATTTGCAACTTACGAGCTTTTTAGTACAGTGCCACGTTATTACCATATTGTGTTATTATTTTTATTACACGCTGCACTTTTTACAATTTCCATTACACCAATATGTTTTTTTCTTTCAAACTGTTTGATCAACATTGAATGTATTCGATTGTATAATTTAAAAAAAATAACAATTCTATTTATATATTGTAACGGAGAATTAGCGACCGTTCCCGTCTGGGTAGCTCGCGGCTGTTCGCACAAATTATTTATTCAGGGATTCGGGAAGCAAAAGACGTTCCCACGACTAAATAACGCGTCGAGCATAAACACGTTAAACGTACAGATTGAAGTCGGGATGAGGAGTGATACAACGGCGAATAAACACAACAGCGGATTAACACACTAATCCTTTAATCGTCAACAATAGGTTACAAGACGGCGATCTTGCGCTTATACACTACGAGCGGCACAATAACAAACGCGAACGCGAAGGTGAATCGGTGGCTGGTCAGCCTGCCGATTCCCTTGTTAAAACTAGATGTTACAATAAATGCCCGACAAAACACTTTCCGCCGTTAAACTATCAACGGGGTAACCAGCAGGTCTGCCGTGCTACCACCCATAAACTGGTGCCCAAACATGCAAGAGAGAGAGAGAGAGAAACAAGAGAAAAACACGACATCGACATCGACCTTCAGCCTCTGACGGCTAGAGCGCTCTGCAGTGTGACGTCACTGGTGTGCTCCTCGCTGACCGTCTCGCTGGTGTTTTTTGTCGTCGCCGTTTATCTTCTTGCTCGTATTCTCGTTCGCCCTACAATACTGCTGCCTTATTCTGTTGTTTCGCTCGATGATTGCTGTCGTTGTTTCCGCCGCCTCTCGGTTGCTCGGTATTGCACTAACGTCAAAACTGTTAGCGCGCGCACCTGCGCACCCGCGCACCTCGCCGGTTACCCACACGCACTGGTACCAGGAATCCTTCGGGACACGGCTGGGCGCAACCCAGCCTCACACACTCTAATACTTGTCCGCGGACCGGGCGTGTCTCCGAAAACGCACAAAACGTCGACGAGGTCGCGGGGTCAACTTCGGAAAACCATGACCTTCAGTTTTATCCACGCGCGCAACTTTCTCTGCCCAAAGCCTAGCAGAGACTCTAATTTTCCGCGATTCCAGCGCTTTCTCTCTCTCTCTCTCTCCTTTCTTCTGCGCCATCTCCATTGCTCCAGTCGTCAGCTCAGCCCGTGTTCAGCACCTCGTAAACAAAAATCCAAGCATGAGTGTGTGTACCACACGCACACACTGTCAGGTTGGCGCGGCGCACGAACATTTGCGAGAACCAGACGGACGAAATCGGCCTAGCCAAGATTCTCCGTTACAATATTTATAAATAAAAATCCACACTATTCACTAAGAGGAAAAACAAATACTTAACCGACGACGAAACTATGTACTTTAGCAATGAAAAAATTGGATGATACAAATAAGGTATGGTACTATACTATAGTACTATATAAGATATATAATTGAAAATTGCATTGTTAAAATTATTCTTGCATTACACAGGAACTTTCATATTAGTGTAAAAAAATTATTTCTTTATATATATATCAGGTGACGCCTGGCATATTACTTGACTTTACCTTAAATTGTTGACTTAACCATTACTTTTTATTAGAAAGTATGGGTATTTTGCTAAACATGAACTTTACTTGTCGTCAGAACTTCGGACTAAGTTTTACGAACGTTTGCCCATACATTTGAATAAAAAGACAATTAATCTTAGAGATTTCGTTTGATGTAAGTTTGGCCAAACTTTGCTCAAACATTTTATCAAACATTAAAAACATATTGCTATTGCCTTTGGCCAAAGTTTAACCAAATTTTAACCAAAGTTACGATCAAAAATTGAAAAAAAAGCTTTACGATTGTCTTTGGTTGAAGTTTTGACACAATTTTGCTAAACTTATGATTAGAAATCAAATTTCAAAATTAAATTCACAATAAGTTTGGGAAACGTTTTCTCAAACTTTTTACAAACTAATTAGTTAAATAAATAAGTTTGGTACCATTCAACGGACAAGTTTTGCCAAACTTTATCCAACGTAAATTTGGCGAAAGTTAGGTAAAACTTGAAATTTTTTTAAGCGGGTCGAGTTAAATTAAGTGCCAAAGAATTCTTGAGCTTAATAGATGATTTAATTGAACTGAGTTGCAACTACTACGCGCTTTCAATGAGAATTTGTTATTGAACGAATTTAGATATTAAAAAAATTATAATAGTAGGCATAGCGCTTAGGCGGAAAGGCCAACTGAAATTAGTTTATTTAAAGGATGCAATAAGAAAACATTAAATACTTATAAGATTTCGTATGTACAAATTATGTTGTTTTAATTATAAAAAAGACAATAACAAAGCGACGTCAATCAATCTGACAGTCGATCAAGGAAAATGCATAATACCTAAATACATAACTGTTTTTTAGAACTAACTATTGGTAAATAAATTTATTCAAGCTGTTTCGATTTCTCTTGAATGAAGAATGCTTCATCTGGTTTTCATGCTTACTTGATAAATGAACCGTAAGTCGAATGCGATGCCATGCTGAACGAATAATTGCAAATTTATAAAGATCGGCAGACAAGAGATCGAATAATTTGTAAAATAAAGCATTGCATTGGTACAGTGCATGACGTCATGGTAAAAATCTGCTGTGATATTTCTAACTTTAGTGCCAACTATACACGCATGTGTACCGAAACTATATTATTCATGAACACGCACACACGGTAAGAATAAAAATACTATGGTACTTGTGTGTAGATTGTTGGAAGCTCACGTGTAGTTTTACTCTGAAATTTTATTTGGAAAGCGTGTCGATAGGTATTCTGTACTTTATATATGTCTAGCCATAATTATTTACGCGTGCTGGCAGCTAAGCAATTACTGTAAATTGTGGAAGCTCATTGTTCACGTTTTTACATAATCGCTAAATAATTGCTTGCCTACTGTAATATAATTTCAAGTTTCACATTGACTGTTAGAAACTCCACATTTAATCATTAATAGATCAACATAAATAACAGCAGTGTTTCGAAATGTAAGACGATAGAGATAAAAGACGTATGAACGGAAGATTAAATAATAAGCTTATTCGATCAAATTTAAAATTCCTCAGGATAAAAAACGCGTGTAAGAAATAAAAATGAGCAAGGCATGTTATTGCGTATTAACTCTGTCGGCATTCGAATGATTTTTTATGGGCATAGGTGCGTGTTTATCATTCATAAAGTGATATACGAATAAACAAACGGTACCCCTTCCTTTCACGTACAAGTTATAAGGCACGTAAGCTAACGATACTGACATCGCAAATGATGCGAGCGGTATATCGGCTGCGAAGGTGAATAAGTCTATAATAGAAGCTAAAATATCTAAGCGCATGCGAAAAAGGTAAAAGAAGAACTTCGGTTTTGATTTTTTCTTCTTTCTCGCCGCGTGACTGCTACTTGTCTCACCTCTCACGTTCCAATCCCTTCCCCGCCTTTACTTTATCCAACCTGACTGTGAGTATGACTGTGAGTGGCAGCCAGCGAGCAGAGCACTAACATGAACACATGAATTTAACGCACACGTACACGCTTCTCTCTCTCCCTCTCGCTCTAGTGCGTTGCACAGGTATTTTACTTATACATACACACTATACGGTGGCCAGTGAGCAAACGAGCGCGTGCAGGCAAAGTAGGTATAGAGTACGCTGGAGGCGATTTTCTTCTTTTTTCTTTCTCTTTTTTTACTCAGCAGTCTCAGCAGTCAGCACACACATCCATGAGAAAACTGTGCGTCTGACGTGCACGCACACTACTTATTTACATACTTCTACTTGATGTAGGCTTTACCGTCCAATTGCAAAATTCCTCTTTATGTTATCGCTACTCTCACCTGTGTAGTGAAACAGTGCAGCTTCTATCTACAAAGTGCAGTGATTTGGTTTTTATTATTTCACATTCACTTAATACAGATATCTCAATATCTTTCAAAGATAAGCATTGACAGTTCACGATTTTCTTTTTTATTTATCAAGATTTTTCACTGAGGTGTGCAGTTATTCACGTAACCGTGCTATTAATTTTTTCAAATATCTATGTGTGCGTATTTACAGTCTTCTTTTAAGAGAGTTCTCTCATTTTCTTCTGTCATCCCGCATAACCTACTTATCAAGTACTTTATAGTTACAAGCTAAATATGGTATTATTTTTCCTGACAAGTTTAATTTGAAAGAAAAAACTGGCAAGATTGATTAAAATTAAATATATTTAAAGTTATATTTAAATATTTTTACTCTTGTCGAAAATGAATGTTCGAGCAAACGCCATTTACAAATTTGATAAAATCTATTCTCCGCGCCCATCAATATAATATTAAACTGCCATAATTATAATATCCGTAACTATTACGTTATTTATTGCTAATCAAGCAGCTGCCACCCAAGAGGTTATGTTCTGTGATCTGTAGTTATAACTCAATAAAAAAAATTGATTATTTTCGACAAGAAAATAATTCAAGATAATTGCTCAATATGCTGATAATTTGAGGTAATCAGTTAATTTTTTCTCTTTTAAATTGTATTGCATTCTTTCTGCTATAATTATATAAACTTTAATCATTAAAATATTTTAATAATTCATTTTGTACGTATATGTATATATATATCTATATTTATATTTAACGGAATAATAATATTCATAACATCAATTAAAATGTTTATTATGTAAAGAATTCTTTGATCTAAAATAAACTAAAATAATCTATATGAAAATTTCCGTCTATATATACAACATACAAATAATTAGATATTTGATAATGATAATTAATATTTTGACATATTTTTGTAGGGAACAGAACTGGTAATATTAAAAGTGCATTAAAGACTGTTGGTGCCTTATAAATGATATGGATGACATTCATTGACTAATTTATTGCATAACTTCCAATTTGTTTGAGAATTGAAAAATGGATAAGAGTAATACTTCCAATTTTAGTGGACTTACTACAAATCCACAAGAGTGTTGGGAAGTTTATCAAAAAGTTTTAGAAGAAACTAAAACTTTGGAAGATTATCTTGATGAGGAATGTAGTCCTCGAAGTTTTGATGGTAAGACCATAATAAATTCTCAAAATTTTCAAAAATTATATCTTTGACATATCTATTTTAGAAGGAGAAGAAGAAGCTGAGTGGTTGAGAGCTGCTGGTTTAGCTGAACTGACTGAGCCATGGAAAGAGGGCAGAGAAATTCAACCAGAGGAATTAGGTGCAGCATTACGTCCATTGTCACGTGCACAGGCTGAAGCAGTCAAACGACGAGTACGTTCACTCAATCACACTGTTAAGCAACGATATAATCAAAGACAGCGAGTTCGCAAACCAGACATCAGAGATGTTTTCAAAGATTCTGAGGTTTGTTTAATTTAACCTTAGAAATTATGTTGAATAAATTTATCATGTATATTTCATACTTCAGGTTTCAAGTACTGGTACCAGATCACGTAGTGCCACACCTGATTCACTCGATTCCGCTTCTGGAGAAACACTAGAAAGTGCTTTACCTCCATCACCACCTACTGTTTCTGTAATAACATCCCATCATGGAAGGTATATTAACCCTGTTTTTAATTAAATTCTATTGAAATGTAAAGTAGTACATTACTTAACTAGTGAACAGAAAGCACAAGACGAAAATCTCTTTCCCAAACATATTAGGTATGGTATTTTTTGGTAGTGGAAAGTTCAACTCTTAAGCATATGTTGTTGACCAAGTGTGCGGGAAAGATACATACATTTTTCAGAGCACAGAGTATCAAAAAAATATTTCTTTATAAGATATAAGAACTATTTTTAGATGATTACAGAAAATATTTTCTTAATTTTTCTATTGTGAAAATTGTCAAATTGGCTGATTAGAAATTGAATGTTTTTAGTTCTCATGTTCCAAGTTTTGTATCTATGTTTCACCGCAATCCGCAAGATACAAAGGATGGGATGCGCAGATTACCAAGTGGTAATTCAAACGCATCTAATACCACTAGTAACAACACTAGTTGTAATTTATTGCCAGTTCAAGAAATATTCCGACGTTCTGGGCACTGGTCTTACAGAGGAGATGTAGCTGGAGGAGATTCCGGTAATATTTAAAATGAAAACCTATAACAATTGAAAATATATATCGCATAAATATTATAGAAGGAATAAGACTAACAGCTTATCAAAGACTAGGAACAATTCATTTTTCTCGCCCAACAATTCAAAGATTAAGTGGTAGTGATCCAAGTGAAGTAGCTAATGCAGATGTAGAGTCTGCTGAGAAGGTTAGCTCTTCTAAAGATTCAAGTTTAAGGTAATAGGCAATATTATTTTATTATTTAATTAATCACGATTAATAATCATAATTAATCATATATCATCAGTATACATTGAATGAACTACATTTTAGAAGGAGTTCTGGTAGTCATGCAACAGTCACTAGGAGCCATAGTAGTTTGTATGGTGCATCAAAGGCAAGAGAAGAAAATGTTATAACTCGACCTTTGAACAGAACGTCATCTCATGGTCATTTAAGTTTTGAAGAGATGTGCAGAGCAAATGAAGCAAAAAATCAGGATTGGGATTCCAATGATCTTGCCCTTGATGATGGGTATACACAACAAGGAATTGAATTATTGTCTCAAAGAGATCTCACCAGATTACAACCTTTACTATGGCTTGAACTAACAGCTGTCTTCGACAAATATAACCTACCTCTAATTAGAAAAAAACCAAATAAACGCAGAAGAAAATGTGAGAATATCTGGTTTTGCTTTTTGTCACATATTGAGAATTATACTGAATTTATTTTATAAAATATTTCAGCCGGTAATTTGTTTGGAGTCTCACTATCAACTTTACTTTTAAGAGATAATCAATTGACGAGTGAAGAAAGCAATATACCACTTGTGTTTCAAAAACTTCTTCATGAATTAACTACTAGAGGTGTTAAGGAAGAAGGAATTCTCCGAGTTGGAGGACATAAGCAAAAAGTATATAGTAAAATTTAGAATCTCTGTAATAAAAGTATCATAAATTATATAATTTTTAGGTTGAAACATTATGCGCAGAATTGGAAACAGACTTTTATAGTAAACCAAAAGAAATTGATAGATTATTCAAACGAACACCATGTCATGATTTATCAGTAGTTCTAAAAAAATTACTTAGAGATTTACCACAACCACTTGTCACGATAGAATTGATAGATGCATTTTATCAAACTCATGGTAAATTTTCTGTTAAATGTTACATTTTTTATCTTCATAAATAGAATGCATATTATTCAATTATATTTTGATTTAAGGAGTGAAAAATCATAGTGATCTTTCTTATTCACTAAATTTATTAGTGTTGTTACTTCCAATGGAGCATCAATTTACATTGAAAGTTTTACTGGCATTTTTCAAGCTTGTTATAGAAAATCAAAATTCAAACAAAATGTCAATTCACAATGTAGCAATGATTGTAGCTCCATCACTTTTTCCACCACGCTACATTTATCCTCGCGATCGAAGTGATTTAAGCGCACAAGTCAATATGGCTGCTGTATGCTGTCAAGTAACTGAAGCAATTATCATGAACTTTGATCGACTGTGGGATGTACCAAGCGAATTGATTAATCAACTACGACGACAAGCCAAAGAAGAGCGATTTAGAAAATTAAAAAAAAAGTAATAGTAATAATGACAAAATTGCTCGAAATATTCTAACATGTACAATAATATTTGTGCCTTTAACTCTTTTGACGAAATTATCCAAAAGTCAAATGCAGTCTTCATGTAATCTATGATTGCAATCTTATATATATTTTAATTAACTTCAATCCTAATATCAGATCGGATAAAATCAAAGCCTTGGCTACGATAATTTTTGTAACAGTTTTTATATTAATTCGTATAATAGTCCAGTACTAGTATTTGAGCAATAATTTGAAAAAAATTGTATACTATGAAATTTGTTTGACATATTATTTTAAAAATGAAAAATACAAGAAATAACTAATATGAAAGCTGTTCACGTATGTCACCTGCGTCTTTGTACGTACATTAATAAGAAAATTCGTTTTTTAAACTATTTCTAAACTATTTTTAAATTTTCATTGCTTTATGGTGCGTAGATTATTTTATAATTTATATGTAAAAGAAAATTTATTTGAATTGTATTCTACTCTATTTTTCATATAAATTTCGTTATTAAAAACGTGTTCAACAGTATAAGTTTGAAATAACAGCGTGTGTTCTTAAACAAGCTTGTGCTTGTATAATAATTAAAGATTTATTATATATATAATGGATAAAATTTAAATAATTGCTTCTTCTACACTTTTAAAAGTCTAGAAATAGAAAAATTATTTTATGAAAATAAAAATACGATTAAATACTAACCGTAACGCATTACAAAAACGGGTCCAATTCATGATACTCATCTTGTATGAAAAATTGATATTATTCTATAATTTGTTTGAAATTTCAATTGTTATTACATTATCGTGAAATTAAACATGAATTACATTATTATATGAAAAAAAAGAATTTAAATTTGAAAAAACATGATGATTCGTAAGATGACAGAAAGTACTCAAGAAATAAATTATTTAAAATATAAAATCAAAAGTACTTGATCTAGGTTGAATGTTCAAAGCTTTAGTTTCATTAAAAACAATAATTATCTTAAGGTGCATTACTTAACTATTGCAAGATATTAAATTTTGTTATCATCTAGTTTTGTTTGACATTTCATATCGCAATTTGCTGTGTATGTATGGATGTACTTACGTTAATCTGTAATTATTTTGCCATATTAATTTAAGAATTTGTAAATATAATCGATTCCACATTTGTTATAAATTAAATAAATTACCAAAGAAAAGTACATGTTTTATATATAGACAATGGATATGTGTAGTTCCCAATCGATGAAAACACTTGTGGTTTTGTCTAATTCGAAAGAATATTACATTCTTGTTTGAGTATTATTCATTAATCATTTGAATTCTATGCAGTGGTTTTCTTGTAAAAATCCATATATGAATTAAGTATATTCCTAGTTGTCATTTACATTTATATTTACAATTTAAACGCATGAAATAGCTATAAAAGCATAATGTTACAACTGAGTATCATAGTTAATATGTAAATTTGTTATCAAATCAGACGGCTGCAAAAAATTATTCTTTTTCATACTTTAGAATGATTAGTTGGAAGTTACATGTCGAAAGACTGTTATTTTTCGTATTTTTGTAAATATTGGTAACATTATTTTATTTTTTTAATTTTTTTATCGGTTAGGTAAACCATTATGTACAAAGTTAAAATGCATTTGTTGTATAAGTATATTATAAAACATATTGCATAGATTGGCACATTATTGCACTTGAAAATATTAAAAATTAAAATTAAAAATAAAATGAATTTCTATGATCTGTTTGGAAAATGTAATCGCTTTAACTTTTTTCCTATATTACAAATACTTTTATTATTATTTTATATAGTGTTGAATTTTCATGATTATGTACAAATTTAAGCTCGAAATCTAGTTCTAAAGTAAATTGCATTTAAATTTTCGCGCTGACAAAAAGTCGAATGCACGCTCGCATCTTCATGTAATGTAGCCAAATTCAGTGCAACAACACAATATTTGCATTTTATTGTAGTTCGGATTTCGGTATTCCGTGTAATCTGTATTCAATAGTTAACATATCTGAACGTTTACGTTATTTGATTATATTGAAAAAATGGATATGTCAGACGATAATTCTAAAAGCATCGATTTGAAAGCTAATAATGATATTCCAGAGGATAAAAATTTATCTCAATTATTTGATACCGGCTTTGAGATGTACAATAATCTAAATAAAACAGACGAGCCTACAAATAGTTTTAAAGTTCAGGTTCGTTGTCCAACATATTTTATTTAAATAATAATATAAATAATAATTTAGTTTCTTGAGATTGGAATAAATCTAACTATTCATTGCAGGCAACAATTAAACAAACTATGAATATTTTTGAAACTGCAACGAAATTAGTATCTCTAGTTGATATGTTCAGCAGCAATGAAAGCTTTAATGAAATATCAACTGAAAATATTAAATTTTTTTTACTACCAGCTTTACTAGGAACTCTTACAACAAAAATATGCAATGTAGATGATCGATTACATTTAGTGAATGTAGCAGAAGTGTATTTTGTTGATTTTTTGAAAAGATTGAAGTCATACGGGTTGATAGATATAGAAATTCCAGAAGTAGATCATGAAGAGAAAAAGGAAGAAACTACAATAAGTCGTAAAAAATCTAATGCTGAATTAATAACTGAAATGGTAGACTTTTATAACTTTTATTTCTCTACTTATTTTATAAAAATATATTTCAATTATGAATCATATAATATCTAGGTAACTGCAAGGAATACAAAAATACAACGCTACCAAGAACAGAAAGAACTTGAGAAAAAACTTGATATTTTACACAAAAACTTAAATAATCCCAATATTGATGATGAAGCGAAAAGAGAGTATTTTGTAACTCTGATTAAGATATTTGCTAACCAAGCTATTGATGAATTAGCCTCAATAGCTAATGAAAAGCCAATTTTGGAGCATATGAAATCAATTGGACAAAATCCAGAAATGTATAAAAAAGAAAATTCTAGAAAAATACCATCAGCAAAACTTCAGCCCATTATAATCACAAGAGATACTGTACAAAAACAAGTTTATGGAGCTGGTTATCCAAGTTTACCTGTAATGACAGTTGAAGAATTTTATGATAAAAAAGTTCGAGATGGAGAGTAAGTAGCTAAATATTTTTGTATCCAGCTTCCATTTTTGAGAACGTTTTTATTTTAATCATTAATTTTTATTGTTTATTTTCATTATCATCTAAATATTGCATTTCTCTACCAAAAATTTTTCTTTTCAAGATGTGTATATACATATATTTTAGAAATAATAAATGAAAGATTTGTTTCACTCAAGAATATTTTTCTTTATTCCAAAATAGATATGCATTTAAAAATTATAAAAATATCTTTATTTTAAAACAGGTGGCCGGAGCAAGCGCAAAGGAATCAGATTGGTTCAAATAGTCTTCAAGATGTGGCTAGTGGAAAAATTGATCAAAGTTTACAACAAGATGCAGAAGATGAAGAAAAAGAAGATTTGATAGAAAAAGATGATCCTGAAACATTAGCTAGATCTAGGGCAATGGATGAATACAAAGACGATCACCGACGCGGTTGGGGTAATCGTGCTAATAGAAGTTAAACTCTATTCACGATATGTTTATTAATCAGCGTGTAATCCCGAAAATCCTATAAATTAATTTTTTTTTATTTTATATCAAATATAACATTTTCACGTGCTTTTAATGATAATTTTTAAAATAGAGACGTAGTAAGAATAAAAGTTTCAATCATCTAGACAACAGCTATAAAATCACAGAAAGATATAGAAAATACAGTGTTAATTTTAGAATGAAATTACTGTTTGTTCTGGACAACAAACATTTTTTTAGCCTGCATTTTTTGCATTTTTTATATCTTTCTATGATTTTACAGCTGTTGTTAAGACAATCAACACTATTATTCTAACATTCTAGATCTTGGTCATTATTAAACTTATATTGTTATCGATTTAAAATGAAAAAAATAATTGTTTTTAATACATTTACTTTCAATAAAATATTATGTTCTATGTATATATCAGTTTTTTGCATTGGTATTTTTTTATAAAAAGTATAAAGTATAAAGTAAGAAGTAGTTAGTTTAAAGTATAACTATAAGCATTAAAGACATCAACTTAATATTGCTATCAGTACTAATTAACTGTATATCAACTTTTGTCTTTTTATAATGTACGTATTTTATTACCAGTACTGTCGCGGCCTCATGGATGAAGCCTCGGAGACTTACTCTACTGTTTCCCGTTTATACTTGCCGTCGTCGCATTCTTACAGCTTGGAGGATATTGTTAGATTCTTTGGGCCATTTAGACTTTTACGAGGACAATTAGGTGAGAACGATTAGGTAAAATGCGCACCAAAGGGAGGCATTCAAACTCAGAAAGTAGTCGTACACGTACTCTCTCCTTCTCTCTCTCGCTCTCTATCTTTCTCTCTCTCTCCCGCCCCTTCCATCCTCTCTTGTTTTCATGTAATAAAGCTCATATAGTTAATTGTAATTCTAATTGCATTTATTTCATACACCCAACCCTATCTTTCAAAATTAGTCAACGACTACAAAGAACCCTCAATTTATTACAGTATTATACTCGTGCATTATGTTTACATTGTTTTTTCTTCATTATATATACTTTTTATGTTTTTATGAAAATACTGGTTTAGTTTATATTCAAACTCAAGTCACACATAATGTATATATGATTTTAAAAACATCCATTAAGCTACAAAATACTTTTTAAAATTAATTTTGAATCTCGTTATTATTTATCGGTGCTGTCATCGGGTAAACTCCAATCAATCAAACACTTCTGTAAAGAGTATATTATTTTAGAGATGTTTAATGTATTTGATGAAACAAATATTAAACGTTATAAATGCTGTTATTTATATTACGTAGTCCTTTATTGAGTTATGTTATTGTCACTTTGTTGTAAATTAATTTTTTTGTCAGCTAGTCGCTCAATAATTAAAAATGAATAAAAAATAATACAATGGAATATAAACGGATTACACACCAATTTGAATTTTTATAAAAACTTATAGTAGATCAAAATCCAGACGTTATGTGTGTACAGGAAACTAACTTTAAAAATAACTACTACACCAAATTAAAAAACTTTTAAATTTTTTATAAAAATCAACAAAACTGCCTATCTGCAAGTGGAGGTGTGGCTATCTATGTTAAAAGGAATTCAGACGCAATAGAAATAAATTTAAATAGTAATCTAGAAGTAGTAGCAACGCTATAGTGACACTTAATACAAATAAAATCTGTATTTGCTCAATTTACCTACCAAATAACTACGATTTAAACGAACAAGATATCACCGATCTTATTATTCAGTTACTTGAACCATTCATTTTAGCAGGTGATTTTAACAGCCACCACACTCTATGGGGTTCCCACAAAACTGACAGTAGAGGCAATAAAATCGAAAACATTCTCACAAACCACGAAATAATACTGCTCAACGACCAAACACCAACACACTTAACATATCAAATGGCCTGTTAAACTCAATCAATTTACGTCTATGTCACCCAAGTATAGGGGATTCTATTAAGTGGTCAGTTAACAATGACATTTACAACAGTGACAGTTTTCCAATCGAAATCATCATTGAAAATAAATCTGATAATTACTCCAACTGGTGACTTTTCCGAGAAGAAATTAACAAAAACATTGATAGTTTATTAGATCCAGAGGAAATCAATATACCTATAGATGTTAAAATTGATAATTTCGAAACTGATTTCTGATGCAGCCGAAAAATCTGTACCTAAAACAAGCATTAACACCGGAAAGAAAAGTACACCATGGTGGAACAACGAATGCGAAGAAGCAATAAGAGCATCAAAAAGAGCCTTTAACCGATACAAAAAGAAAAAAACAGAAGACAACAAAACTGAATTCCAAAGAAAATGAGCTGAAGCAAGGTTTCTAATTAAAAAAAGTAAAAGACAATCATGAATTAAATATATATCAACATTAACAAACAATACATCAAATGAAGAAATGTGGTCAAAGATAAAATCTATAAATGGCAGAAAAAATCAATTTGAACTATCAACATTGACTATTGGCGATAAAACAATTGACAACCCAGAAGAAATGGCAAATATCTTAGCAAAAACTTTTGCTAAAAATTCTAATGACGCTAATTACGATCCTCTATTTGTACAAAGGAAAATAATATTAGACAACAAGATAATGGATCCAAACAATATCAAAACAACACCCGATACAGAGTTGCTAAATGATCAAATATCACTCCTAGAAATTAAAAACGCATTAAAAACATGCAAAAATTCCAGTCCTGGGCCTGATGGAATCCCGAATATCTTCATTAAAAATTTACCAGAAAAAGCCTTTATCTATCTAACAAAAATCTACAACACTATATGGACAAAAAATATATTTCCCAGCAAATGGCACGATGTAATAATAATCCTAATTTTTAAACAAGGCAAAAGTAAGAATAACACGGATAGTTATAAACCTTGTACAATGTTAATAATTTTAATGTCATTTATTCACGTCATTGTAGTATTAGTTTTAATATAGTTCTATGTTTATAATTTGTGTTTGTATAATAATTAAGTATTACTCGGAACGTGATTCGAAACAAGCGTCAACGCGCGTTCAAAAGGTGCAGTCCACATGAAAATAGCCGTTTTCCCCGGTCGCATTTCGAATTGTACGCAGATTTTATGACCTTAGTCACATGTGTTTCTCATGAGGCCGGCAGGCTATGCTCATTTGAGTGAACATTATTTTCTTTCGTTCCTTTAGATCTAGTTCGATAAGTTAGTCGGGTTGATACTTATTTTGAGTTTTCGCTCTCGATTTTCGGGTTTCAAGAAAATAAATAGCTACCAGCGACCATAGTCAGTTCAGTTAGCTGAGAGCCATCGACGAGTTCGTTCCTAAGCTAATGTGTACATTTGAATAATAAAGGTTTATATATTTAATACTTATTGTGTACCATCATTGAACACCATATTATATAAATTAAGTTTTATATAATCGTAGGCGATTAACTGCGTAGTAACAGACCTATAGCTCTTACGTGTTGTTTATGCAAATTATTCGAAAAAATTAATAATCAAACGAACTTACCTGTAAGTGAAGTTCGATTGTAATTATATGCGTTATCTCGTCCGAAGAGATCAAATGGTAGTAACGTCAGTTGCCGTTCGAGTCAGCAATTTTTAGAGCTTCTTTTTTTTTTAATCGTAGCTCATTTGTTGACTCATAATCCTCATTAAGTTTAGAGCTGAAAATCGCTATATATGGGTGAAACAATTTTTAATTGAAAATTTTTCGGGTGGGAGGGTTTGATCTCTTCGGACGAGATAACGCATATAATTACATTCGAACTTCACTTACAGGTAAGTTCGTTTGATTATTAATTATATTTTGTTATCTCGTCCTCGAGATCAAATGGTAGTTGTTTAGAGAACAGATACAGTAAGCGATTTTATTTATTTATTTATTTTTTCAATAATGCTTGATGCAAATGTTGAATTTATAATTGGGCGATTGTAATGTTTAGTGAATACATTGGAATTTTGTGACCATCCGGCGGTTCTACGAATTGTTTCAATGTTTAAATCTTTTCGAAATGCCATTGATGTTGCAGCATGCCTAGTGCTGTGCGCAGTAAAATATGATGTGTCTATTTTACTTTTACATAATACGTCCTTAATCCAACGACTAATGGTTTCAGAAGTTACAACGTTATAAGGTTTTTTGTACGATATAAACAGAAATTCGTTATTGTTTCGTAAGTTATGCGTCTTATTAATGTAATATTTCAAAATAGTTAAAGCACATAATTTTTCTTTTTCACGAAATTTAGGTATTTCTAGAGTAGGTTGTACTACATTTTTTCCTGAAGTTTTTATACGATCGCTGATAAATATTAGTGCTTTATCATTTTTGGCAAATACAATATTTTTTAATCTAATTTTAGATAGAGTTTGTACTCGTTGCGCAGTAATTAATGCAAAAATAATAACTAATTTTTTCGTTAACGATTCTAAATTGAGACTTTCAAGAGGATGTAAACTTTCTAAGTATTCCAAAACAGGGGTAGTATCCCATACAAATTCGTATTTTGGTTTTTGAGGTTTTTCGTTTGAAGCTCCTTTGCAAAACCTCTTAACATCAGGATCATTGCCGATTTCCGTAGAGGATATAATCGATATTGCCGAACGATATGAATTCAGTGTTCCGTATGAGTTAATATCATTGAATATGAGAGACAAAAATTCCAATATATCTTTTTTGCTTGCATTGAACAAGTCTATCGATTTTTCTTGGCAATGTTTCCACCACAATTTCAAAGGTTTGTTATACTGTGCTAGTGTTGTCGGAGCTAATGATGATGTCATAACGTTGATCGTAGATTTGGAGTATCCTTTTACTTCGTATGCACTCCTGATAAGACTCCGGCAACCAGGAAAAGTTGTTTCCACAGCGGGTGGTTCTCCCTAAAAGGTGAGCTTAGTAAGTTTATTTGTGGATCAAAAACTATCATTTCTGATATCAATAGTTCCTTAAATAATGGAAACCATGATTGTGATGGCCAATAAGGAACTACCATGACACCTTTAGCTTTATCGATACATATTTTTCGCAGTGATTTTAAAATCATTGCGAATGGTGGAAATGCATAAAAGAAAGTATTTGTCCGAGTTATAGTAAAAGCATCGACAGCTTGAGCTTTTGGATCTGGGTACCAAGAATAAAACTTTTTACATTTATTATTGATATTTGTTGCAAACAAGTCTACATCACAGATGCCAAATGTATCGATAATTCGGTTAAATGCAAACTGAGCGAGTTCCCATTCTGTATCTACAGATAAGTATCGAGATTCACGATCAGCTTCAATATTTTGTGCTGATTTGATATATAATGCAAATAGCCAAATATTTCTTGCTTCACACCATTGCCATATTTCTTTACTTAGTGAAGATAGTTTTGGGAATTGTACACTGCCCATTTTATTAA